TGTCTGTGTGTGTGTCTGGGTTTGTGTGTGTATGTGTGTGTGTTTGTGCGTGTGTCTGTGTGTCTGTGTGTGTGTGTGTGTGTGTGTGTGTGCGTGTGTGTGTTTACTTGCACTACACTGGCACTGTTACTGGATTAGGCTGTTCCGGGTAAGTTTCTTTGTACATGTGCTTACCTCTTCCCAACCCTACAAACGAGAGAGCTTGGAAGCTCAGGGCCCTACGCTATGCTTTTATGCTTTTTGCCTAGCTCATCGTACATGTTATAAGAACTGATGGAATTGTCTTTTTCCGTTGATTGGCCACATCACTGTATTGCAAAAACGTTTCAATCGGTTTGAATATTATGAGTTAGGCAAAAGTATTTGCAGAATTTATTGCGGATTGTTATTTCTCTAATAATCATCTACTTTTGTTTTGCTCCTTCTTTAATTTTTATCTCCTTATATTGTAAATCAACAAATTTTGGCCCATGAGAAATAGAAACCTCTCGATTAGAGAGGTTAAGATGCACGTTATTTCCGACGTGACGCGCAGTTTCACGTCAAATTTGAAATCGATCGGTATTTTTGCTCTCACATGCATCCATTGCTCAATCATGCATCATTTGCCTATATGACAAACGTTGGCCTGCGATTTACTTTGGCCGGTTGGTACCAAGCGGCGAAATCAGCGAAATTAAATCGCCAGCGAACATTAGTTGATTTTAATACAGGAATCGGATTTTCTGGCCTTTTTGTAGTAATACATGTACATTGACCTGTTGAGCCAATGACGACGCCGAATGCATGGTTGCCTGTGGAGCACATTACATAACTTTACAGTCTCCTAAAATACGTATCCTGTCCGACGGCAAAAGAGGCTGCAGATTTAGTTTTTCTGCGCGTCGACGGGATGTCTGCGACGCGAAAGTTCAGCTCGCGTTATTTGGCTCGCACGTCGAAAAAATCAACGCGAGTGACCTGCTGCTCACGTGGAAATTTGGACATTACATAACTTTACTGTCTCCTATATAAATACGTATCCTGTTCGACAGCAAAAGAGGCTGCAGATTTAGTTTTTCTGCGCGTCGACGGGATGTCTGTCCTGACGTTTACTGGGACCGGCGCTGACTCTGCCGATCACGGGCGTTCTGGACTCGACGGGATGTCTGTCCTGACGTTTCCTGGGACCGGCTTAGACTCTGCCGATCACGGGCGTTCTGGACTCAACGGGATGTCTGTCCTGACGTTGCCTGGTACCGCCGGACTCTACCGATCACGGGCGTTCTGGAGTCGACGGGATCTCTCTTCCGACGTTTCCTGTGACCGGCACTGAATCGCTCGTTCACGCTTATTTTGGAGACGACGGGATCTCTCTTCCAAAGTATGTTTATGCTGACGCATCCTATCACCTAATCGGCGTCTATTCTAATTTAATTTCCTCCTCGTCTCCCTGTTTCTTTCCAAATCCCCCTCTACATCAGGGAGTCGTATGCATAATACAACGAATATTGGTACGGTACGGGACAGATACAGGAGCCCGCAAATATTGTGGACAGCTGTTATGTACAATCCTGTAGAGCCTTTGTAGTCACAGATACGGGACAGATACGGGACAGATACGGGATAGATACGGGATAGCGCCAGGCGTGACACAAACAAACAAACAAACAAACACACACACAAATACCAAATTAAAGCTGTGTGGACCCTGGTTAGCGCCAGATGTTACTGAAGTAACGTCTTCTGCATAGCTACGGGAATAATTGTTTCAGCATATTTAAAAAATGTATAGACAAAAAATCAAGTTTCCTGGGTCCGCACGCATCAAAATCGAGCCGAAGTCAATTTTTTGTGAACACTGATTGTGTGACTTGATCTACGACTCGTAGAACTAGATCTTCTCGACTAAAGCTTAGCTTCACCGTGCTCCTTGCGACTAGGCATGCACTACGAGTGCTGTTTACACGGATGGGAATCTCGATTATTTTTTGGTCTCGCCTAAACACGCAAGAAATGTAGATGGACTTTTCTTTGAAACATTCCACCACTCCACACTGGTCGTCGCAGCTTCTAAGTGATGGAATTTTCCGTTAATTAATTAATAAGAAAGTGAAGTATTCGGCCGGGTTTGCACCCAAATTTGTTATTTGCTGATTTTCAGCGGGTTCCCCTTTTCTGTTCTTTGACTTCTTTCCAATTTCGAAATCAGCGCACGGGCCTCTTCGTACGATAAGTTCCATTTTTATTCTCACCGTGTCTCTTCGCTTTTTTTAATATTGCGCTCTGATTTTTCGTATGGTAGTTTCTCAACAGTTGCTTTGAGCATGCTCTCTGCAATGTAGCTGCTAGTTTTGAATGAATGGACTGTAAGGCACATGTACCACCAAAAGAAGTGAAAACTGAGATCATTTTTTTCCTGGAATGTCAGTGTCATCCATCAGTATTGTGCCCAATGCTGCACGTTCTCATCCCTCGGTTTCTTGGCAATATATTGGTGGACAACTGCTAGTACACAGAACAAGTGAACCTTCAGTCCTTTCAGTCCTAAAATTAGATTCTTGGCTCAACATCTGAGTCCGTAATGGATGCAGCATTTGCACATGAAGCTCCTTGAGCCGTATTTGTATCTGTGTGTGTGTGTGTGTGTGTGTGTGTGTGTGTGTGTGTGTGTGTGTGTGTGTGTGTGTGCGTGTGTGTGCGTGTGTGTGCATGTGTGCATGCGTGCGTGCACGCATGTGTGTATTATATTATGATGATGTTATGGCTTGAAGAATGTATGATGATGGTTGTACTGGTGTGCACTCTGTTACAGACTGGACTATCTGCTTCATGGTGGAGCATGTACTGGCGAAGTGATGGAAATCACTGGATGCACCTTAGCTGGCAAGACACAGGTACGGCGGCGGCGGCGCATAGGGCATAAGCAAACACTCTACAGTCTGTAGTGATTTGGTGAGGGCTGATGTTAGGGTTGTGGCAAAGTCACCCTGCGTTCTATCATTCTATGCAACTGTGGACAGCCCTAGACCAACACTCCAGACCAACACACTGGACCAACACACTGGACCAACACACTGGACCAACACACTGGACCAACACACTGGACCAACACACTGGACCAACGCACTGGACCAACGCACTGGACCAACACACTGGACCAACATACTGGACCAGCACACGGGACCAACACACTGGACCGACACACTGGACCAGCACACTGGACCAGCACACTGGACCAACACACTGGACCAGCACACTGGACCAGCACACTGGACCAGCACACTGGACCAACATACTGGACCAACATACTGGACCAGCACACTGGACCAACACACTGGACCAACATACTGGACCAGCACACTGGATTCGGCATGTGAAGTCCTCTAGTCCGGTAGTCCTTTACTTTGGTACATCATGTAGTGCTGCTGCTGCTGCTAAAGAAGGACAGCCTGTTGGGGACGGGGAGCAGTGTAGCAATAAGGAGCCGACTGGTGTGTGTGTGTGTGTGTGTGTGTGTGTGTGTGTGTGTGTGTGTGTGTGTGTTGCTCTTCTTCTGGAATGGTGTTTCAGCTGTGTCACTGTATAGCATTGCTGGCGGCAGTCGATCATAGTTGTGATGTCATGTTTGTGGAGAGCGGCGGTTCATTCTCCTCTAAGCGCCTGCTTCAACTGGCAACCGCTAAATGCGTCAAGGTTAGCATGTCCACTAAGTCTGAAACATCACATCATTTTTAGCTGGCAGAATGCGGAAGGATTCAGAGTCCAATACACAATCTAAGACATAATAGATAGTCTACGAGGAGTTGCATTCCTGTCTCGCCTTATAGCTAAGGAAAACACCCCGCGTGGCCGTAGAGGCATGCCTTGTGCATATCACAAGCATTGAATCAATGTCAAGGTGGGTAGAACAACTTGCTGGTGTTGGTCTGTATGAGCAGTTGCCAAAACTCGATACATCAAGCTTGAACTTCTCAAGGGGTATTGTTCTTATTTGTATTTTGATCTAGGGTAAGTCTTTATTGTTTTGCCTCCTCCCTTGCTTCGCCATATTAATGTCAATCTCTCTCTCTCTCTCTCTCTCTCTCTCTCTCTCTCTCTCTCTCTCTCTCTCTCTCTCTCTCTCTCTCTCTCTCTCTCTCTCTCTCTCTCTCTCTCTCTCTCTCTCTCTCTCTCAGGACCAATCTTGGCAGAGGTATGTACACTCTGCCCCGATCTTTGATCTGTTTGAGCTCACTGACTTGCTGGAAGATGTTCTCATCAGTGAGAAGGTACGAGACTACATGTACAGTACTGCAGTGTACTAAGTGATGTAAGTCCGTGTAGCCAGCCCTGACCCAGGGCATTGCATAGTAGCAGAGTGTAGTGTTTGTCTGCGTAGCCAGCCCTGACCCAGCTCATTGCATAGTAGCAGCGTATGGTGTTTGTCAGTGTAGCCAGCCCTGACCCAGCTCATTGCATAGTAGCAGAGTGTGGTGTTTGTCTGCGTAGCCAGTCCTGACCCAGCTCATTGCATAGTAGCAGAGTATGGTGTTTGTCAGTGTAGCCAGCCCTGACCCAGCTCATTGCATAGTAGCTGAGTGTGGTGTTTGTCAGTGTAGCCAGCCCTGTATTGAGTACTCCTTGTTTGTACATGTACAATACCTTTGCTATCTTCCGGACTATGGGGCCGTGGAGTGGTGACGTAGACACGCTTAGTAATGCACTTGGAGATGGTTTTCTTGGGACAAGCAGCGTCCTTTTTTTTTCTCCTTTGGCTCAAGCCTGGGGTTAAGCCAGCTAGGGGTTAGGCCAGGTGTTAGGCCAGCTCAAGCCGGGGCTTTCTTATGGATTTGTATAGCAAAGGATAGCATGTACAAGTTGTTGAGCTTTGCTTGCCGGGGGGAGGTATACAGTAATACAGCTGATCACAACAAGCGTGTGAGTTATTGTGAGTAGTATACTGTATACATATGTGTGTGGGGTTGAAGTGTGCTTTTCTCTGCTAACTTTCTGCAGTCTAGTCCTCCGGCAAGAATGATGATTGTGGATTGTTTAACTTCACTATTGGCTGGCCACCATGCCGATGACTTGATCGAAGGTAAACATCTTTGTTTCTCTTTCGCTCAGTTCTCAGACGCTCCTCTGTACACGCATACCTAGGTTATCCGGGCGATCCGGGACTGGCCACTGCCCATAACTCTGACTGACATACGTTCTGATGGGGAAAGGCCAGAGATATGGCATATGGCATATGACATATGACGTCATCATTAGAGCAGTAATAGAACTAACTTAGTGATAGAAGACGAGTAGTAATATTTCCACTAAATTCGCCCAAAGGGTACCCTGAAGACCATAGTGCCCGTTTTAAGGTTACCGGGTACCGGGTGCCCCGGATAACTCAGATATGACTCATCACATCAGACAAGTGTACTACATGTATATTAGTGTTGAGTGAGAAATACCGTAGAGTGCCGACGGGTGCTTCATCTCTGACCAAGCACTTGTGTTGTTCTGTTGCTCCATTTCCGGTTGAATTTCATGCACTTTGTTTAAGTCGCAGGCAGGCATAGTGGGATGGTCTAAGACCATGATTGAGAAACAGAGGGTACCAGGCTCAAGTCCTGCTTGGCAAGTCCTGCTTGGAAGCGGAAGGATTTTTCCAGCCGTGCTAGCCTGCGACCCACAGTTAATTGGGAACTTGTGGCCTGGCACGAGGGAAACATGGATGCAGCAAATGGGATTTTTCGGTCTTTGACGATTTTGTGGTGGGTCTGATCTACTCACCTCCCACCGCTTAGGAGCTGCATCTGCGCCTTGATCCAAGAGGGTGGTGGCGTTCATGCCTTGATCCTAGAGGGTGGTGGCGTTCATGCCTTGATCCTAGAGGGTGGTGGCGTTCCTGCCTTGATCCAAGAGGGTGGTGGCGTTCATGCCTTGATCCAAGAGGGTGGTGGCGTTCATGCCTTGATCCAAGAGGGTGGTGGCGTTCAAGAGGGTGGTGGCGTTCAAGAGGGTGGTGGTGTTCAAGAGGGTGGTGGCATTCAAGAGGGTGGTGGTGTTCAAGAAGGTGGTGGTGTTCAAGAGGGTGGTGGTGTTCAAGAAGGTGGTGGTGTTCAAGAAGGTGGTGGTGTTCAAGAGGGCGGTGGTGTTCAAGAGGGTGGTGGTGTTCAAGAAGGTGGTGGTGTTCAAGAAGGTGGTGGTGTTCAAGAGGGTGGTGGTGTTCAAGAAGGTGGTGGTGTTCAAGAAAGTGGCGGTGTTCAAGAAGGTGGTGGTGTTCCTAGAGGGTGGTGGTGTTCAAGAGGGTGGTGGTGTTCAAGAAGGTGGTGGTGTTCAAGAAGGTGGTGGTGTTCAAGAGGTTGGTGGTGTTCAAGAGGGTGGTGGTGTTCCTAGAGGGTGGTGGTGTTCAAGAGGGTGGTGGTGTTCCTAGAGGGTGGTGGTGTTCAAGAAGGTGGTGGTGTTCCTAGAAGGTGGTGGTGTTCAAGAGGGTGGTGGTGTTCCTAGAAGGTGGTGGTGTTCAAGAGGGTTGTGGTGTTCAAGAGGGTGGTGGTGTTCAAGAAGGTGGTGGTGTTCAAGAGGGTTGTGGTGTTCAAGAGGGTGGTGGTGTTCAAGAAGGTGGTGGTGTTCAAGAAGGTAGTGGTGTTCAAGAAGGTGGTGGTGTTCAAGAAGGTGGTGGTGTTCCTAGAAGGTGGTGGTGTTCAAGAGGGTTGTGGTGTTCAAGAGGGTGGTGGTGTTCAAGAAGGTGGTGGTGTTCAAGAGGGTTGTGGTGTTCAAGAGGGTGGTGGTGTTCAAGAAGGTGGTGGTGTTCAAGAGGGTGGTGGTGTTCAAGAAGGTGGTGGTGTTCAAGAAGGTGGTGGTGTTCAAGAGGGTTGTGGTGTTCCTAGAGGGTGGTGGTGTTCCTAGAGGGTCAGGGGCGTCACACACGGTACGACCACTACGACCATGGTCGTACCACTTTTCGTCCAGGATGGTCCACCCAATTCATCCGAAAAAGCAATAAAAAAATTCAAGGATCTTCGGACTTGTACAAAACATCGCAACTGTTAGTAGTGTTACTTTCATTGCAAGGAGCATACAGACTTGATGCCTAGCACTAGCAGCTAGCTATTGCCCAAGACTCCAGGCGGCTATCCATTACGATATGCGGTTGGAGTCACGGTTAGAGACAACCAGACGATGGATTCCTCACGGACGCATTCACTGCAAACTTGACGGAAACAGAGCTGAGCTGGCGGCGATCACTGGGTCCAGAACTAAAATTTTCCAAGATCTACCATGTTACAATGGCGATCAGTACGTCAAGAGGCACTACATGTATGTCACTTGTCAGCTACAACATAATAATTATATTCTTTCCACAACGACACCTACCTAGTACCTCTGGCTCCTGACGATCTACTGCAAGCGGATTCGAAAATGCATTACACCCGCGAACGCAGCGCTTGTCAACGGAAAAGGGAAGCGCTTCATTCTCCGAAGCTGAAAAGTGTTTGGACTGCTGCTCCACGGCGGCAGAATATTCTGCAGCTGTTCACCGACACGACCCGCTTCACCTATATTATAACGATTTACGATCGTTTCGTTCCCCGAGTTTTCTGGTAGCAGCAACAAGAATTTCGTCCGCGACGACAGGACGAAAGTCTCTCGCAAACTAAAGTCCTGTTGCCACGAAGACAGAGAAGATTCCGCAAGCGCTTTCTTCTGCTTCCATTGTTGTAGCTCTCCGGTCCACTGGCAGATCTTTCAATCCCACCGAACAAAAACAAAGGACCTTCTTCTCTCTCTAAAAACAACTAAAATAATTACTTCGCGACTGTCCAGGCCGGACGTGTACATAGTGTGCGCGACGCGGCAGACTTTTGCAGGACACGACATACGTTTTTGCATAGTAGTCTAGGAGCCAGGGGGTCATCAGAACTGAGCTGTGTGACACCTTGTCCAGGAAGGATTTTTTGACGGATTTGGAATGGCATAACAACCAGTAACTGATCCCTGAAAACCAGAATGTGCCAAAGTCGTCCGTTCAAGAGTTATGGCCTATTTACTAAAATTGCCATGGTTACCATAGCAACGTACATGTAAATTGCCTCTTTTTAGCTGAAGAGACATGCAATATGGGTCAAATAGGTAATGAATGGCTGTCAAAGTCATAAGTGAAGATAAAAGTTCCCAAAACTGCCTTCAAAATATTATAAATGTCATCAGAAGTGAATTATTTAATACTGGTGTGGTTTGTATATGTTCAAAGTACATTGTACATGTATTTGGTATCATTATTACATTGTATGTAGAGGTAGTATCACAGTTACTTATCAGTGGGAAATTGCTGTGTGGTCACCAGGAGTACAAAACAAGAATTTACAGAAAAGAAAAAGGACCATCGAACTACAAGCTACGCTATAATATCCACTAACACCACTAGTTACTGAACAATCAGCTCATGCGATAACATTGCACGACACTGACCGACGGTACTGACGTTCTACAACTAACTGGCTAACAGCTCTAGCACATCTTGGATGCGCACTACACTAGCCTTCCAACTTAAGTTTCTAAGTTACATGTATATGATAACATATGAGGGGAAGGTGATTGTTTAGTAACTGGTGGTGTTCGTGGATATTCTAGCATAGCTTGCAGTTCAATGGTCCTTTTCCTTTCTATAAATTTATCCTTGGCTCTCTATCCAAAAAAAGAACTGTTCAGTATGCTTCACCAACAAGGATTGAATCTGCCCCAGACCTTGGTGCAGAAGGGTGAGTCGTCAGGCAACGCTGTTGCGGCTCTTCGCTAGTCCTTTTCTCTATCCTCCAGCGACTACATCTGTCAACGAGGCACGATAACAGCTCTTCTTCATGACTCCAGTGGGCTATCCATGAGTCGTCCCCCTTCCAAGACTCCCATAACTACATGTATATCCGTATAGCCAAAGCCACCTTCCAGGCAGCTCTTTCAGGAGACATGTGCTGCTGCTCAGCCTGGTATGATGGTATCCCAGATCCCGCTGCCCATTGATGGTATGCTACAACCTCTCCATCCGATGGCCATCACAGATTTCAGGTCCAGAGCTTTTGCTGCAGCTTGACACATAGTCGCTGGAGGATAGAGAAAAGGACTAGCGAAGAGCTGCAACAGCTTTGCCTGACGACTCACCCTTCTGCACGGTCACTGCACCTACATGTAGGGCAGATTCATTCCTTGTTTGTGAAGCATACTGAACAGTTCTAATTTCGTACTTCAGTGTGCCAGTGTCAAGCGCTGCTCCTGGTGACCACACAGCAATTTTCCACTGATAAGTAACTGTAATACTACCTCTACATACAATGCAATAATGATACCAAATACATGTACAATGTACATTGTGCATATACAAACCACACCAGTATTAAATAACTCACTTTTGATGACATTTATAATATTTTGAAGGCAGTTTTGGGAACTTTTATCTTCACTTATGACTTCGACAGCCATTCATTATCTATTTGACCCATATTGCATGTCTTTTGAGCTAAAAAGAGGCAATTTACATGTGCGTTGCTATGGTAACCATGGCAATTTTAGTAAATCGGCCATAGCTCTTGAACGGACAACTTTGGCACGTTCTGGTTTTCAGGGATCAGTTACTGGTTGTTATGCCATTCCAAATCCGTCAAAAAATCTTTCCTGGACAAGGTGTCACACTAACTCCTTATTCCTTGGACTTTTCCTGACTTGGCTCCTAGACTATAGCCGCTGGCACTAGAACGCGCAGCACGCTTGTACTTCGGATTTTGCGATTTTTTCGAGGGCAATGGCCCTGAATCATTGAATGGGTTCCATTTGCCTTGCTGGGCTACCTACGATGTACAGAAAATACCAAAACTCCATGAGAAGTATGTTTTTGGAGCTGGAGTGGGGTTGTCTAATAAGTGCTAGGGGAACCCTCCTTTGCGGCTGTAGAGTGCTAAAACGTGGCCTGTTAGCCGAAAAATCCTTATTTTTTTCTCCGGGGGACACCCCGCACCCCCGGTCGTACCACTCCCAGCAACCCTCTGACGCCCCTGAGGGTGGTGGTGTTCAAGAGGGTGGTGGTGTTCCTAGAGGGTGGTGGTGTTCAAGAAGGTGGTGGTGTTCAAGAGGGTGGTGGTGTTCAAGAAGGTGGTGGTGTTCAAGAGGGTGGTGGTGTTCCTGCGGATGCGGGAAACTCGGCCTCCAGCCGAGTCTCACGTGAACCGTGAAATGTTTTTATGTTTTTGTTTTTGTTTAAGTGTGTTGTTTGTGGGAACCCGCAAGCATGCCGAGGTGTCATTGTTCATAAACAAACAGATTGCTTTCGCTTCTTCCCCCTGTGTGTTTGCTGCTTGTGCTCTATTCTTTCTTCAGCTAAGCGCTACGTTGCCCACCTGTTGAAGAGAATTGCTTTGGAACAGTCCATGGCTATTGTGGTAAGCTTTTTTCTGTTTTCTACTTTACTTGACCGTGTGTCTGGCTGAATTTGTTTGCTGGAATACCGTACATTCTCGGTGACATACTGTACAGGCTTGGTGATACGATCGGCATGAGGAAGTGATTGATCATTTACAGTGGAGATTGGATATAACGACACTCCTTCGGGAGAAAACAAAATGTCGCTATATTCGATCTGTCACTAAACCCGATCTTCACATTTAGGGTGCAATATGTATATCAAAATGACAGAAATGTATTGCATATATGCATAATATTGCATATGCATAAAATAATGCATATGGATTTCAGATGTGCATGTGTCTTGCATGCATAGTTCAAGCCAAAAGTCATGCATAGCAACTACACCGCTGCACTGTGGCTACCATGTGCAATGACCAGCACGCGGGGAGTGACCCAGAGGTCCGGGCATGTGACACAGACATGTCCATGCATGCCACTCTGCCTGATACAAGAGGAAAGTCGTTATATTCGATGCATTTTCAGGTCTTCGGGCACCAAAAACTAGTGTCAGTAAATTTGATCTGTTGTTATTTTCGAGGTCGTTATACCCGTGGCCTGGCACGAGGGTAACATGGATCCAGCTAATGGGATTTCGGTCTTTGACCACTTGGTGGTGGGTCTGATCTACTCACCTCCCACCGTTTAGGCGCTGCATTTGCGCCTTTGATCCTAGAGGGTGGTGGCGTTCCCACGGCGGATGCGGAAAACTCGGCTTCCAGCTGAGTCTCACGCGAACCGTGAAATTTATTTATTTTTATTTTATATCCGATCTATAATGTACAGAAGGGACTTGCTAAACGACTTGGGCAACAGAACTTTGTTGCTAAACTCGATTTGTCGTTATATCCAAGGTCGTTATATCCAATCTCCACTGTACCCGTTTAGACCCGTGTAAACTAGAAAAACCAATGTTCATGATATGATTTGCTCTGTTGAACAGCAGCTGTATCACCAGTGCTAGCATGTTGTATTCTTATTGCACTGGGTTTGCCAGTGCTAGCATGTTGTATTCTTATTGCACTGGGTTTGCTTTCCTTTGCCTGCTTCCATCTAGTACACAAATAATTTGGTGATGGAAGGTTCCTGCCTGGCAATGTCGTCCATCTTGATGCAAGTTCCCAACACGCGCATCAACCTCTCAAGTTACACCAAGCCAAGCAGTGATGTCGATTTGTACTCAGCCACCCTGCTCAAATCTTCTCATCGTGTATGTTTCTGTGCCTAGATATTATGATTGTGTGCATATGCTGCATGACTGTGCTCTCCACGTGTGTGTGTGTGTGTGTGTGTGTGTGTGTGTGTGTGTGTGTGTGTGTGTGTGTGTACATGTGTGTGTGTGTGTGTGTGTGTGTGTGTACATGTGTGTGTGTGTGTGTGTGTGTGTGTGTGTGTGTGTGTGTGTGTGTGTGTGTGTGTGTGTGTACATGTGTGTGTGTGTGTGTGTGTGTGTGTGTGTGTGTGTGTGTGTGTGTGTGTGTGTGTGTGTGTGTGTGTGTGTGTGTACATGTGTGTGTATGTGCTGTGTGTGTACATGACTGTGTGCCTGTGTTGTCTATGGGGTGTGTTGTCTATGGGGAGGATAGAACTGAGTTGTACCTGTGAGTACTCAATCTCTGGCCGGCTAGCTATCTCAACAGTTTATCGAGTCCCATCGGCAGACCCCAGACTGACCGGCTGAACTTATTGCAATGAAGTTAAGAGAGCTGCAGAGCATGTTTAATAATCAGATCAAAGCATGCCAGAGTGCTCTAACTTCGAGCAAGAGTACAGAACCCCCAAGAGTGTGCAACTCGACTATAGGTGCTGTCCCGACAGAATTTCAAGTTGACGTCATTTTTATGATGCAATGCGCACTGTACACGGATTATCAGACGAATCCGGAACCTGTGGTGGACCAAAGCCTATCTGATCCTTTTGCAAAGAAAAACGTGTGATGCGTTGGCACCCGTACACATGTTGTAAATCACTGGTGCAAGGAGCATTGCATCATAATGACGTCAACTTGAAGTTCTGTCGGGACAGCAGGGTATGTAGAAGTTGCACACTCTGGGGGGGGGGGGGGGGGGGTATGTACTCTTGTTTCGAGCAAGACAGCAAGGTTTACAACTATGCTTGTGACCATGTGTTTGTTTTCTTTTACTTCATGTACTGGATTTCCTCTCTTACAATGTATAAGCACAGTCTCCAAAAAGGGATGGGTTAGACGGAGATTGAGAAAAAAACCCAGATACATAATAATAATAATTATCATACTTATTAAGATAGAGAAACTACAATACCTGGAAGTTGTAGTTCTTGTCTGTGCGTGTTGTTGCAGTCTTACGGACTAGCTACAGCCATGACACTGGACGATGCTGGATTTCAGGACATCGCACAGGACAAACTGGGACAGCATAAGCACTACAGGGCCTCACTAAGATGATGAGCGGAGTGTACACAGGATGGTGCTGCCGTTGTTCCGCCTGTTGGGATGAGCAAGCAGCACAGGTACTACCTACAGTAGCACTGTTGGTATGAGCAAGCAGCACAGGTACTACCTACAGTAGCACTGTTGGTATGAGCAAGCAGCACAGGTACTACCTACAGTAGCACTGTTGGTATGAGCAAGCAGCACAGGTACTACCTACATTAGCACTGTTGGTATGAGCAAGCAGCACAGGTACTACCTACAGTAGCACTGTTGGTATGAGCAAGCAGCACAGGTACTACCTACAGTAGCACTGTTGGGATGAGCAAGCAGCACAGGTACTACCTACAGTAGCACTGTTGGTATGAGCAAGCAGCACAGGTACTACCTACAGTAGCACTGTTGGTATGAGCAAGCAGCACAGGTACTACCTACAGTAGGCTACAGTATACTAGTACTTTAAAGAACACATGTGCGGCAGGCGCTGCTGGCAGTCGTGTTCTACACTCTGATAGCTCCTTACCTGGTACAAGCCGCATTTACCATACAGAAGGACTATGGTATCAACGCTAACGATCACTACGGTACGTACGACGACACTTTGAAATCGAGTACATCCACATCGATGTGATTGGATGGCTGGGGACATTGTAAGTGACATCATGGCTACTGGTGAGGCCCAGCAAGACTAATCGTGTATGTGAGCATCTCTTCGAAATGCACTACAATGACAATGTGCTAGTGCGTGTGAGGTGAAGAGACCTGCAGTCGAAGCAAATAAGTGTGTATGTACTGCGTGCACAGGCAATCGGTGTGTACATACAGGGAAGACACAGACTGACGCTGCACCTTGCCACGGTCAACTCCAAATGATCAGCTGAAGGCAAAGAATGCTGTCGCTCCTCCACGTTGATACAAGTACTTGATCAATGCTCACGTGACCATGAGCAGCTGTACAGTGCAGGATAGTGGAGCTGGTATTCCAAGTCTGTTCTTGTGTACAGAGTGGTCTTCACTTCCCCCCTGAGTGATCGCACAGCAACGTATGCTTTTCCTGGATGGGACTTGCACTGATGAGTTAACTGGCAGAGCTAGGCCCGCTGGTGTACATCGGATGTTTGGCAATAGATGTCTCCAACTGCTCACGTCCTCCGGCCATTGAAAATTTCCCGTGGCCGCTGGTGTGTGAGTGAGCACAATCACGCAGGAGATCATGTTGGATTGACCTTCAGAATAACACGGATGTAATATTGCCGATTCTCCCGTAGTACCTATTAAATGGTCTAATGCTGCATACAGCGAGCGCAGTGTCTCCTTCCCTGCCTAAGACTGGTCTTGGAAGTTCTAACGTTAGCTCATGCCTTGAACAACCAGATTTAGTTCTTGTCTTTTTCTGCCATCGTCATGTGTGCAGTGATCGACTGGTGGTGCGCGTATGGCTGGGCATACTTCAAGTAGAATTACATTTTTTCCACACATTTTTATCCAATAAATCCCATTCTGTTTGAACTCTGTTTGATGAATACCACACACACAACTAACAGTTCTGGCAATGGGTCGCATGCGTTTAGTGAGGTATTCTGTCATAGCTTTCGCCTCTGGTCTGCAGTTGACATGAAAGGAGTTTATTTTTTTGTTTAACAAAAACATAAATCTGTTCTTCATTTCTGTTGTGAGCAAGTGGTGTCAGTGGCCAGTTGGTTTGTTCTTCTGTCTGCATGGTGGGTGCTTGCTGTGAATCTGCCTTTGGTTCAAATCTACAAAAGAAACTTTTTTTGGTGTTTGAAAAAGTGATCCCCTCTGAATGCATGTATTCATGCATGAATGCATATGTGTTCATGCATAAGGTCAACAGTCAAGGTGGAATACAATCATGTACTTCAGTACAATGTGAAAGAGAGGCTGTGCCAGTGCACTGGTGATGTGCTAGCACTACACTAAACACATCACCATGCATGTAGCAGCAATACAAGGTGATGTGTTGTAGTGATGTCATGTTCAGGACTATGTACGTGTCTGTGTGTGTTGTGAGTTTGACTCAATGCAGTGTCTGTGTGTCTGTGTGTATTGTGAGTTTGACTCAATGCAGTGTCTGTGTGTCTGTGTGTATTGTGAGTTTGACTCAATGCAGTGTCTGTGTGTCTGTGTGTATTGTGAGTTTGACTCAATGCAGTGTCTGTGTGTCTGTGTGTATTGTGAGTTTGACTCAATGCAGTGTCTGTGTGTCTGTGTGTATTGTGAGTTTGACTCAATGCAGTGTCTGTGTGTCTGTGTGTATTGTGAGTTTGACTCAATGCAGTGTCTGTGTGTCTGTGTGTATTGTGAGTTTGACTCAATGCAGTGTCTGTGTGTCTGTGTGTATTGTGAGTTTGACTCAATGCAGTGTCTGTGTGTCTGTGTGTATTGTGAGTTTGACTCAATGCAGTGTCTGTGTGTCTGTGTGTGTTGTGAGTTTGACTCAATGCAGTGTCTGTGTGTCTGTGTGTATTGTGAGTTTGACTCAATGCAGTGTATGCATATACAGTCCTGTAGCCATATCTGCCATGTCTCAGGCTATGAGAAGCAGTGAATCAGGGTGGAGTACAGGTGAGGTAGGCCAAACAGCCAGCTAGTAGTTCAGGGCACTCACTAGGGACACCCTGGGCAGGACGGGGAGGAAGGTCAGTGAAGCAGGGAGAACTTCTCATTTTTTTCAAGATAATTGCTAAAATTTTTGCAAGAGTTTGGTTCAGAAGCTGGAAAGCCACCATCCCCACCCTACCATCCTACTCGCTGTTTTTGATTTATAGCACTTCTTACTTCAGTGGCAATAGTACCTAGCGGAGCGGAGGACGATATACCGTCCCCTGTTGCCACGTCAGCTAACAAATGATAAGGAATTGTACTTGAACCCGGTCATTTTATCGGCTAGGTTGGGTTGCTTTGACAACCAGAGCATGTGTATACACCCAAGAGATACGTGGAGAGAGAGAGAGAGAGACCCAGGTAATGTATAACGTTGTGTTGCTCATTCGCCATGGTGATACCAAACAAAACTCTGACACGGGTCGCGGCAAAAGTACTCAAAACATGCCGAACCACTATAATAGCAGAGGGTTTTGGTGAATATGAGAAAACGTCTTAAAATGTAGTCCGCTGAGCATTGTATTGTTCGCACGTGCACACTACAAGAAAAAAGGTTGTGCTGTGAAGAGCATTGGGCACTAGCACACAGGAGCCAATGCATTGGACACTAGCACACAGGAGCCAATGCATTGGACACTAGCACACAGGAGCCAATGCATTGGACACTAGCACACAGGAGCCAATGCCAAGCTAGACATACACAGGCTAGACTACATGCTGTTGCAATACTGTGTATGATGTTACCATGGTTACTGTGTTTCAAGTCGGATTTCAAAATGTCCACGCACATCTGTAATAGTGGAGTTCAAAGCTGATACAGCTGCACATTCAAGACGTATTGAACACTGGCCATGCAGTTAACTCTAAGCTAGCCTACTCAGTGTAGCTGCTTCCACTGGCTATCGGTGCATCTATGCTGCTTGGCCCGGCAGACTAGCCCAGAGTTGCTATGCACGGACTCAGGTGAGTACTTGCCGCGTACAACTTGCACATCAGTAGCCTTTCACATGGCTATCCTGCATCTTATCATTGGTCCTTCTGCTGGGCCGTGGGAGAAAGCAGTTCAAGCGCTGCTGCTAGACACTGCTGCTCTGCTAATAGAAGATTGCAGCTGCTGCCGTTTGTGGCGGTGGTGCTGTTGCTGCTGCTGCGAGTGATGTAATCTCCGTTAAAATGTGGGGTAGCGGCCGTTAGTGTGCATCACTGACTCAGAGTGTGAGTGTTGTTACTCTGTTACTCTGTAGCTGCAGTGCCGCGTTCTACTTTCCATTCCGTCACAGCTCCCCAGGCTTGCCACTTCTTGGTGGCCCAGTGCATGTACTGGTGCTGCTGCTGTCAGCATCATTACTACTGCTACCTGTTTGGCTGCTCTTTCTAAAGCCATTGCTCTGCAAATGCTGCTCAGAGTCAGTGCTGCCACTGGAGCTGTTGATACTGCTGCTGTCTTGAAGTTGATGCTCTTCTTGCCTCTAGTGTTGATCATCAGTCAAGGTGTCTTTGGAGTTTTTTGTCACTCTGCTTGTCGTTGGCTTGTTGACAGCCATCCTCAGCCGTGCTGCAAAAACAAAACAACACCCGTAACCATGGCTATGTAGGCAAAAGAAATAGCACATATTGCATCAAGATTCAAGATGATGAAAAGCTTTGGCATCGATCATGCATGGACCAGTGCAGTGGCTTGCAATGTTGGTGATGCAATAAGAGGTCTAAGTGAAATAGAATGATGATTCAACTCATTAGGCCCTGTTCAGACAAGGTACAAAACAGCCTATAAGTCACATTTACATGTACATACTGAAGTAGAAGTCTCCAAGACGACTACAAGAATCTGGCGCCTACAAAGCTGCCCAATCCTTTCAGGCAGGGTGCGAACCCTTGTACTTTCCTGCGTTTATCGTACTTTCACCGGGCAGTCGTACAAGCGTACAAACATTGTACGATTCCCTGCCTTCACACATCCCCTTGCGCAATTGCGCAGGGTCAAACGTTACCTGTATGTTGCATGTAAAACTGTAGTCTGAATGTGTACTGGATTTTCTATGTACGTAGTCTGAAGAGGGCCTTAAAAAGAGGGCTCAGTCCTGCTTTTCATCATTCCAAACAACACAATACTTGTACAACTTACAACTCAGCCCGGATTGAAAAACTGCAAACAACACAACTGGGACTCAACTTGAACCAGTGATGTTTTCTTGCCCAAGCAATGCCACATCAGGGCCATCACTGCCTATGACATCACTGCCTATGACATCACTGCCTATGGAGCATGGTGTGGCTTTTACACATGCCCGCACAAGCTGCTCACAGGCCCGGCCCGGCGGAAGTAATCTTTAATTCCCGAAGCTATGCAAAAGACGTTACGAATAGCAGCGCCTGGTGCTAGCCAGGCCAGTTAGGGTCCACAACGCTGTATTACATACCTATGTGTGTGTGTGTGTGTGTGTGTGCGCGCCGTGCATGCTTGCATGTCACGTGACAGGGCGCAACTGCCAAATGGCCAGCGGCGCGCTACACGTGAGCAGGCATTCACCCGTGACATAGCTACTACTGAGCTATTGTTGCTAACCTACATGTAGCGGCAAAGATCAAGCGTATCGGAGGGTCCTGAGCTGAGCTCCCTTGTTGCCGGGTCAGGTGGAGCAAACTAAAAAGGAAGTGTGGAGCCCTCCTTCAAAGTCATTCTAAAAGGATTTGAAGCAAATCATTCACTTATGAAAATATTACTACAGTCAACCTACCCTTATAACGTTAAAGGGGAAGTTAAGGCTAAAATCAAATTTTCACCAGTTGTAGTCTTCGAGGTGCTGAGTCGAATGGTCTTGGTCCGAGGAACCTGAGACGCTCCCTTCCTCCTTTATTCCCAATCGAACTCACGCACTTCCACCGAAACTGGGTGACTGCGCCCTACTAGTTGGGGATTTGTGTGCAAAATGTCACTAAAAGCGCCATTTCATTCTTATAAAAGCATGGATGACCGCGATTGGCCCATATGTTGTAGTCTTTTGGACGCTGAGTCGACTGGTTTTGGTCCGAGAATGCTGCGATGCAGCGTTCCTCCTTTATTCCCAATCGAACATTGTTGAACAGGCGGTCACGTGTTCCTGCGTGCCAAAGTCACCTGGTCACCGAGCCAGCAGGCGAGAACTTTCACACCAAGGTTCAACTCGAGTTCAACTCGAGTTCAACTCGAGTGACAGGAGTGCACCCAAAAAAGGTCAAACAGGCTGTAAGTTGTACCCTGCAGGCGCTAGGCTAGGGCCGCTAGGCACGGTGACCAGGTGACTTGTGTATTTCTTGGGCTACTATGTTATGACGAAACACAAAAGTTTGAGCTGTACGCAAGTCGCGGCGTGGCTGGCCTCATCAGGGTGACGTAGTGCACGAACTGCGCTGTTTCAGATCTGATAATTAATGATATGCACAGTTGCACACTCTGGTTTATGTACTCTTGCTATAATGCATTCCTGGCCGACCATACCGTGATACTACTAGTAGTAGTAGTGTCTCGCCGCCCATACTGTGACACCACTAGTACTTTTACCATACGTCCTTACCAAATTAGAGCGCATACTTACACAACAGCGATACACCTTAGCCTTCTGCCGTTCTTCTGCTCTTTTATCCCTCCCTACTGAGTACGGACACATTTGATTACGACAGATAATTATTATATTTTTTATGTAATGTTACCCCCCCCCCACCCTTCGCTATTACCGTAAAGTCGCGGATAAAAGCCGGGTTTGCATACAAGCACATCGCGGATAGAAGCCTGAAAATCAAACAGGTCAAATGCATAATATAAGCCTGTCGCGCGTAGAAGCCTGGCTTCTATGCAAGCGCGGATCGGGTAGGTCAAGAGTGCATGCGCTATGTACGGTGCATAGTAAAACTGCCGTCATACCGGTAGTCAGTGGTAGGTCTACGCGTGTCGCGTGCAGAAGCCTGGCAAAAATATCAGTGGTGCATATCAGCATGGTTTGCATCCAAGCCTGGTTTGCATTAAAGCCTGATGCAGAAAGCGGCTTATGTGCTTATAAGCCCTGCTTTTATCCGCGACTTTACGGTATGTTATTGGGCAAAGATCCCGTTTGACTTTGCGACTAAAATAAAGAATACCTACAGGCTACATACATCATATCACCAGAATCTCTAGTATCCCTGGCCAATAATCCTGCATAGTAAGTGAGTGGCATTGATGCGTTCTTAGACTTAGTTCTGGACTCCCTGCAGGTTCTTACCGCCATGTTGTGTTCAGCTTTCCAGCTTATGACAAAGAAGCTAATCGCACCGACCCGTCGCATCTGCTGTGATTGGATATCATGGAAGCCGCGTATTGTAGTCCGATCTCGCCACGCACTCTGGAGTCATTATTGGCTTCGCTATCGACTGGTACCAGAAAGAGGGTATTTGTACTGGGCCATCGCCGGCACGTAACATGTTTGCTGCACCTAAACGGTAGTCGTCGAATAAAATACTGTGACTATGAGTAGATCTACTTGTATCCGGACTACATGTAGTGACACTGACAATGACACTGACAATAACAGTCATCATGAACAGACTCACTGTTCACCATGGTTCACTGCTGCCAGCTGCTAGCTTGGCCGGAAGACTCAGTCACTGTCAAGCCACAAAGGCCCAACCGCTGACAACATTTAACAGCCATCGACCATCGTGCAATACACTTCGAGAAAGAAACAGAACTACGAGTTGTGCCTATGTCTATGAGGCTATGAGCTATTATAATTATTATGTATGAGAGCACTTCGCCAGCCTTCGAAGCTTCGGTCTACCGGTTCGATCTACACGGTACCAACAAGCAGCATCGGCTAGCATCGGTACGACTACACAGTGTGGAGGGACATATCCACACAACATCCCAACTGATTGACAATACAATCATGTTATGACTGTAGACTACAGTCAGAGCATGCAGCATGCAGGACAAACACAAAAAAACTGCACTACAACTACAACTACAAGACAGCGAAGGAGCAGACATTGTCAGTGTGTACAAAATAATTCAAAACTCGAACTGCAGTGTACTTGCCAAAATGATAAGAAGTCAAGGTGAAAAGTCATTATCACTGAAAACTGCATGGAAACCAGCTCAAAGCAGTAGTGCTAAATTAGCACGGTACTACTCAGTGATGACTGATGTACCAGGTACAGATATGTCGCCATACACACATCACACACCACGCACACCACGCACACACACACACCACGCACACACACACACACACACACACACACACACACACACACACACACACACACACACACACACACACACACACACACACACACACACACACACACACACACACACACACACAAGGAACATGTCATATTCCCTTCACCATGTTCACTGGGCCTTGATTACCACAAAGAGGTTTTTTTTCAATCCAACATGCTTGCAGGATCATGTCGGGCCTGCAAGCAGCTAATCAAAGCACCCCACCCCACCACATCCCACCACACCACACCAACATGTTCAAACAAGTAAAAGTATCGGGTTTCCCCGCAGCTCAAATACATGCATTCAATTAATTTTTAGAATTGTATCAATTCTCCATATCCATAGATAATTTAACTTGCGGAGAATGTCACCTCAACAACAAAGCAGATTCAGAGAATAGATACGCAAAAGACACAACTGAGTAGGGAGACAAATAAGCCGGCAATAGAAAAGGTAAAAAAAAACAAAGACGATTCAGACACCACAAACAGTGGAGAAGGGTTCTTAGGATAAAATTCACCGATTTCGATACGAGCTTTTAGAGTTTGTTTTCTGTGCGAGTATTTTAAATATGTACACACGCACACACACGCACACACTACACACTGTTTATATCACACCCTGGTGTATAGAGAGGGGTGGAAAGAAAGAGAGAAAGGAAGAAAGCCTTTCGGAGAAAAAAAGGAAGGGGAAAGGAAGAGAAGTATAGAAAATAGAGCAGATTTCTAAAAAAACACTACAAACACTTCAAAACGGTTTCATGTGTCGTTTCTCAGATGGGTATACACGCACACGCACGCACGCACACAGACGCACGCACACAGACACACATGCACGCACGCACACAGACGCACACGCACGCACGCACACAGACGCACACGTCATGTTCTTCACACACAATTGTATTTACCAATCCGCCCTACACACGGGGCTACACACGGGGCTCACAGAACATATTAGAGAAATAATGTGAGAGGGCCTCACTGTCTGCAGCCAGTGCCTTATGTTCAGAATGATGATCAACCTGTTACGTCACACACACAACACACACAACACACAACAACACACACAACAACACACGGCACACAATGAAAATCAATCAACATTTTCCTTCTGGTACTGACAGTCAATTTTTTCTTGAGACTTTCCCCATTCACCTTCCTCAAACTACTGGCACTCTCTCTAAAATCAAGTTCATGGAGTCCACTAGCACTGTATAACATTTAAAAAAAGGGGACCTATGGATTCACCAAGGGTACATAAACCAGAATGTGCAACTCCGGGAGAATGAGCCAACGGTGAAGTTTTTGTTTTGTTTAGGTCATAGTGACTCATCTTTGCTGCACCTCACACAGGTTCACATGGTCATGTTACCGTATCACCATGGCAAGTTCTGCTGCGCGTTGCTGCTTGTCGTATGAATGGTGAAGAACGCACGCAAATTTCCCGTTGTCACCTTCGTGATGCAGTGGTTCGGTACTGAACGCTCCATTGAAAGTCGCACCCACTTCTTCGCCCTCGAAGTTTAGTGCAAAAAATGCGCGACTTACATTCGGAAAATACGGTACGGTACTTGACTGACACATGAGCTGACATGCATGCAGTGTACCAAATGTCAAATTCAAAATAGACAAAATTGGACAATTATTAGAATGATGGGAAACACTTGTAAGAGCTCATGCAGTGGAGGCAGGAGAGGCAGGAGAGTGTGTAGTAGAGTGTGTAGGAGAGTGTGTAGGAGAGTGTGTAGTAGAGTGTGTAGGAGAGTGTGTAGGAGAGTGTGTAGGAGAGTGTGTAGGAGAGTGTGTAGGAGAGTGTGTAGGAGAGTGTGTAGTAGAGTGTGTAGTAGAGTGTGTAGGAGAGTGTGTAGGAGAGTGTGTAGTAGAGTGTGTAGGAGAGTGTGTAGGAGAGTGTGTAGGAGAGTGTGTAGGAGAGTGTGTAGGAGAGTGTGTAGGAGAGTGTGTAGTAGAGTGTGTAGTAGAGTGTGTAGGAGAGTGTGTAGGAGAGTGTGTAGTAGAGTGTGTAGGAGAGTGTGTAGTAGAGTGTGTAGGAGAGTGTGTAGGAGAGTGTGTAGGAGAGTGTGTAGTAGAGTGTGTAGGAGAGTGTGTAGTAGAGTGTGTAGTAGAGTGTGTAGGAGAGTGTGTAGGAGAGTGTGTAGGAGAGTGTGTAGTAGAGTGTGTAGGAGAGTGTGTAGGAGAGTGTGTAGGAGAGTGTGTAGGAGAGTGTGTAGGAGAGTGTGTAGGAGAGTGTGTAGGAGAGTGTGTAGTAGAGTGTGTAGGAGAGTGTGTAGGAGAGTGTGTAGTAGAGTGTGTAGGAGAGTGTGTAGGAGAGTGTGTAGGAGAGTGTGTAGGAGAGTGTGTAGGAGAGTGTGTAGGAGAGTGTGTAGGAGAGTGTGTAGGAGAGTGTGTAGTAGAGTGTGTAGTAGAGTGTGTAGGAGAGTGTGTAGGAGAGTGTGTAGGAGAGTGTGTAGGAGAGTGTGTAGGAGAGTGTGTAGTAGAGTGTGTAGTAGAGTGTGTAGGAGAGTGTGTAGGAGAGTGTGTAGGAGAGTGTGTAGGAGAGTGTGTAGTAGAGTGTGTAGGAGAGTGTGTAGGAGAGTGTGTAGGAGAGTGTGTAGGAGAGTGTGTAGTAGAGTGTGTAGTAGAGTGTGTAGGAGAGTGTGTAGGAGAGTGTGTAGGAGAGTGTGTAGTAGAGTGTGTAGGAGAGTGTGTAGTAGAGTGTGTAGTAGAGTGTGTAGGAGAGTGTGTAGGAGAGTGGAGGCAGGAGAGTGTGTAGGAGAGTGTGTAGGAGAGTGTGTAGGAGAGTGTGTAGGAGAGTGTGTAGGAGAGTGTGTAGTAGAGTGTGTAGGAGAGTGTGTAGGAGAGTGTGTAGGAGAGTGTGTAGGAGAGTGTGTAGTAGAGTGTGTAGTAGAGTGTGTAGGAGAGTGTGTAGGAGAGTGTGTAGGAGAGTGTGTAGTAGAGTGTGTAGGAGAGTGTGTAGTAGAGTGTGTAGGAGAGTGTGTAGGAGAGTGTGTAGGAGAGTGTGTAGGAGAGTGTGTAGGAGAGTGTGTAGTAGAGTGTGTAGGAGAGTGTGTAGGAGAGTGTGTAGTAGAGTGTGTAGTAGAGTGTGTAGTAGAGTGTGTAGGAGAGTGTGTAGGAGAGTGTGTAGGAGAGTGTGTAGTAGAGTGTGTAGGAGAGTGTGTAGGAGAGTGTGTAGGAGAGTGTGTAGTAGAGTGTGTAGGAGAGTGTGTAGTAGAGTGTGTAGTAGAGTGTGTAGTAGAGTGTGTAGGAGAGTGTGTAGGAGAGTGTGTAGTAGAGTGTGTAGGAGAGTGTGTAGGAGAGTGTGTAGGAGAGTGTGTAGGAGAGTGTGTAGTAGAGTGTGTAGGAGAGTGTGTAGGAGAGTGTGTAGGAGAGTGTGTAGGAGAGTGTGTAGGAGAGTGTGTAGGAGAGTGTGTAGGAGAGTGTGTAGTAGAGTGTGTAGGAGAGTGTGTAGTAGAGTGTGTAGGAGAGTGTGTAGGAGAGTGTGTAGGAGAGTGTGTAGGAGAGTGTGTAGTAGAGTGTGTAGGAGAGTGTGTAGTAGAGTGTGTAGGAGAGTGTGTAGTAGAGTGTGTAGGAGAGTGTGTAGGAGAGTGTGTAGGAGAGTGTGTAGGAGAGTGTGTAGTAGAGTGTGTAGGAGAGTGTGTAGGAGAGTGTGTAGGAGAGTGGAGGCAGGAGAGTGTGTAGTAGAGTGTGTAGTAGAGTGTGTAGGAGAGTGTGTAGGAGAGTGTGTAGGAGAGTGTGTAGGAGAGTGTGTAGTAGAGTGTGTAGTAGAGTGTGTAGGAGAGTGTGTAGGAGAGTGTGTAGTAGAGTGTGTAGTAGAGTGTGTAGGAGAGTGTGTAGGAGAGTGTGTAGTAGAGTGTGTAGTAGAGTGTGTAGTAGAGTGTGTAGGAGAGTGTGTAGGAGAGTGTGTAGTAGAGTGTGTAGTAGAGTGTGTAGGAGAGTGTGTAGGAGAGTGTGTAGGAGAGTGTGTAGTAGAGTGTGTAGTAGAGTGTGTAGGAGAGTGTGTAGGAGAGTGTGTAGTAGAGTGTGTAGTAGAGTGTGTAGTAGAGTGTGTAGGAGAGTGTGTAGGAGAGTGTGTAGTAGAGTGTGTAGGAGAGTGTGTAGGAGAGTGTGTAGTAGAGTGTGTAGTAGAGTGTGTAGGAGAGTGTGTAGTAGAGTGTGTAGTAGAGTGTGTAGTAGAGTGTGTAGGAGAGTGTGTAGGAGAGTGGAGGCAGGAGAGTGTGTAGTAGAGTGTGTAGTAGAGTGTGTAGGAGAGTGTGTAGGAGAGTGTGTAGGAGAGTGTGTAGGAGAGTGTGTAGTAGAGTGTGTAGTAGAGTGTGTAGTAGAGTGTGTAGGAGAGTGTGTAGGAGAGTGTGTAGTAGAGTGTGTAGTAGAGTGTGTAGGAGAGTGTGTAGTAGAGTGTGTAGTAGAGTGTGTAGTAGAGTGTGTAGGAGAGTGTGTAGGAGAGTGGAGGCAGGAGAGTGTGTAGGAGAGTGTGTAGGAGAGTGTGTAGGAGAGTGTGTAGGAGAGTGTGTAGGAGAGTGTGTAGTAGAGTGTGTAGTAGAGTGTGTAGGAGAGTGTGTAGGAGAGTGGAGGCAGGAGAGTGTGTAGTAGAGTGTGTAGTAGAGTGTGTAGGAGAGTGTGTAGGAGAGTGTGTAGGAGAGTGTGTAGGAGAGTGTGTAGTAGAGTGTGTAGTAGAGTGTGTAGGAGAGTGTGTAGGAGAGTGTGTAGTAGAGTGTGTAGTAGAGTGTGTAGGAGAGTGTGTAGGAGAGTGTGTAGTAGAGTGTGTAGTAGAGTGTGTAGTAGAGTGTGTAGTAGAGTGTGTAGGAGAGTGTGTAGTAGAGTGTGTAGGAGAGTGTGTAGTAGAGTGTGTAGTAGAGTGTGTAGGAGAGTGTGTAGGAGAGTGTGTAGGAGAGTGTGTAGGAGAGTGTGTAGGAGAGTGTGTAGGAGAGTGTGTAGTAGAGTGTGTAGGAGAGTGTGTAGGAGAGTGTGTAGGAGAGTGTGTAGGAGAGTGTGTAGTAGAGTGTGTAGTAGAGTGTGTAGTAGAGTGTGTAGGAGAGTGTGTAGGAGAGTGTGTAGGAGAGTGTGTAGGAGAGTGTGTAGTAGAGTGTGTAGGAGAGTGTGTAGGAGAGTGTGTAGGAGAGTGTGTAGGAGAGTGTGTAGTAGAGTGTGTAGTAGAGTGTGTAGGAGAGTGTGTAGGAGAGTGTGTAGGAGAGTGGAGGCAGGAGAGTGTGTAGGAGAGTGTGTAGGAGAGTGTGTAGTAGAGTGTGTAGGGTAAAGAGAAGTACACTGTACATATACTTGCGTCCAAAGAAGTTTTCTGAGGAATCTAGACTGGGGAAGAGGGCGGCGTGTAGGCTGCCGCCGGCACTCCACACACTTCTTGGGTGAATTATTTGGTGAGAATTTTAGAGCTTTTGGGCAGTCTTCTTTTCTTTCCTTCGCACTACACTATATTATTTTCCTCCCTTCGCACTAAACCATTCTTTTCTTTCCTTCGCACTAAATGATTATTTCTTAGGGGAGACAAAGACAATTACACTGCCGATAGTCGTGGATTGAATGGAAATCAAATGGTAGACGTGGACACTTCAGCTGGAGAGAGAGAGAGAGAGAGAGAGAGAGAGAGAGAGAGGCTTTGGTGCAGTACTGACGCTTCCTTGTTCTGCTTGTCGATACGTAGGTAAGGCAGCAGGAAGGCTGGCAGAAACACAGGGTTCTAGCCAGGTCAAAATAGTGCGGGGGGGGGGGGGCATGGGAAACAGTCACTGAGCGCTGACTAGCTAACACAACTGGACAACACATACAAGGTGCCAGTCACATTTGAATGACGATGGAACGTGGATGTGGAGATGCTGGATGGGTGCCACACAGAGCCCAAACAAGACCTACAGCAATAAAAAAATACTATCGTGAGGAACATGTTTCCAAAGGAAGGGTTCTGCAATGCAAATACTGTTGCCACAGCTGCAAATCTGGCAGTCCTCACATTCAACCATGGTACAGTTACCCTTCTGAAAGTGCTGAGAGAGTTTGCCTGAAGAATGGGTCACTACACCGAAAACGCTCTTCAGTCCGAGGATGTACTCAGGATCCAGAAATCCCAGTCCAAGGCATCCGGCACAGAGAGGAGACAGGATGGGAGGAGGCTATTGTTGAGCAAGAAGGAGTATCTTATGGAGCAGGACAGTTTTGAGAGGTGTTCACTAGTAAGTAATGCCGGTGATGATATATACACTTGTCACGACATGACATGTGTGTATTTGTGTGTCTTTTCGCGGCCTTTTTAAAGGGGAAGTTAAGGCAAAAATTAAAATTTCACCAGTTGTAGTCTTCGGGGTGCTGAGTCGAATGGTCTTGGTCCGAGAAAGCTGAGACGCTCCCTTCCTACTTGAATCCCAATCGAACTCGCGCACTTCCACTGAAATTGGGTGACTGCGCCCTACTAGATGGGGATTTGTATGCAAAATGTCACTAAAAGCGCCATTTCGTTCTTATAAAAGCACGGATGACCCCGATTGGCCCATATGTTGTAGTCTTTTGGACGCTGAGTCGACTGGTTTTGGTCCGAAAAGGCTGCGATGCAGCGTTACTCCTTTATTCCCAATCGAACATGGTTGAACAAGCGGTCACGTGATCCTGCGTACACCAGTCACCTGGTCACCGTGCCTGCAGGGTACAACTTACTAGCCTGTTTGACCTTTTTTGGGTGCACTCCTGTCACTCGAGTTGAACCTTGGTGTGAAATTTGTCGCCTGCTGGCGTGGTGACCAGGTGATTTGGGCACCCAGGAGCACGTGACCGCTTCTTCAACCATGTTCGATTGGGAATAAAGGAGGAACGCTGCATCGCAGCCTTTTCGGACCAAAACCAGTCGACTCAGCGGCCAAAAGACTACAACATATGGGCCAATCGCGGTCATCCGTGCTTTTATAAGAACGAAATGGCGCTTTTAGTGACATTTTGCATACAAATCCCCATCTAGTAGGGCGCAGTCACCCAGTTTCGGTGGAAGTGCGCGAGTTCGATTGGGATTCAAGTAGGAAGGGAGCGTCTCAGCTTTCTCGGACCAAGACCATTCGACTCAGCACCCCGAAGACTACAACTGGTGAAATTTTAATTTTTGCCTTAACTTCCCCTTTAAACAACTATCCTCCACATTCCGCGCTTCAGCCCACTCTTTTCTCAAACAAGTCGTTTTAACCCTTTTACGGTCTCACATTTGAAAATCGATCACCGGTGATCGATTTTTCAAACTATCGTAACTCAGTCAATTTTCGAGCAAATTCGAACATCTAAATATCTAGGTTGAAGAGAAAGCTCCAGGCTATCCGTAGGAACAATCGCCGAAGCGATAGAGTGAACGGCTGCGATGCTACGAAGCTCGCAATCTGCGTCACGGCTCATTTGCGATTTGAGTGGGCAAGCTGGGTCTTGAGGACGGGTTTTTCCCTTTGCAGCTAGCTGTCGCCATAGAGACACGGATTCAAATGAGAGTATGGACTCGCAGCACTCCTCACAAAAAATGTGAGCTCAAAGTGAGCAAGGAGAGGGAAATGGCTGTTGAATCTTGTTTCTCGTCGTGAATCAAGCACTGAGGCGATGTCGCTGCGCTGCAGCGCTGGATCCACGGCACGCTTGGTGTCGAATTGTAGCTTGGCGTGTTGCTCGTGTCCAGAGCTTTCCAGAGAGCCCAAGATCATGAGAATCAGCGAAGGGAAACTGAAGTTCTGGATGAATCAAGGTACGAAATTGTTGAATTCTGTAAATAGCCTCATTTTGACTGGATTCTGAGACCGTGAAAGGGTTAAAAACATTCTGTAACCAGAAGACCAGCCAATGCAGAACAGACATACCAGCCAATGCAGAACAGACATACCTGAGCTGGGCGACCAAAAATTCCATTTGCCCTTCTATTTCAACTACAACACAGTATTGCTTCGGTTCCATTTTCATCAACATCTACACCCGACTACCAGCCATTATAAAAATGAAAGCTCACAAGGCACTCACAAGGCACTGGTAATACTTACCAGCATCTTGCCGGGGAAAACCGTGCGGATAAGGGCAATGTCTTCCTCATATCTGTGCCAGTCAACACTTTTACTAGAATGGCCGTCAGGTCTGCCTAGTTGATTCTGTGCACGGAACAATAGTATGTAGAGATGTTAGAGATGTTGTCACAGGGTCACGAACAAAATTAATACTCGCTAAGGGTCCAGAAGTACTGCACACATACCATTACGCGTATAGCAACTGTCTCCACGGGCAGGTAACCAAAATCACCCCCACAGCATACACATACGTATAAAACTATAAACGCACGCGCACGCACACACACAAACACACTAGGGCTGAAACAAATATACCGAATATTCGTTAACCTTCGATAAGGATTATATTCTTCATGTTCGTTTAGCTAAACGAATATTCGAATGATTCGTTCTGTATGGAAAATGGGTACTGTGTGCATGACAAAATGACAGGACTTGAAAAAGTGCTGTCCTTTCGCATTGCTGTGTAGTGTTTGGACTGATTACAGGCGCACGGATGCACGTCATCTGATATGATATCATATCAGTTCCATGTGCGGCATGGAGGGGGTAGCTGACGAATGTCGACCATAGCTGGTACAGAATTTTGCTCGTGCAAAAATACAATAAAGCCCGGACAGCAAATCACGAAAATTGAACAACATATTCGCACGTTCGTTCGTTATGATAAAGAAGGTTCGTTAAAAACACACACACACACTTCCACATGTGCCCATCGCAGAAGTGATGATAGCGAAAAAGATATGTAACAATGTTTGACATAGCAACTTGTTCTGGTATTACACCATTCAACAGCTTGCAAGGCTGATGAATTGACCACCACTAATGTTAGACTGATCTATACCACACAGCTGATTGAAGTGGCTTTTTCTCGCCAAGCGAATCCCTACTTTTTGGTCTTTTTTAATTTTTTCCCCGCACACACATCACACCACATACTCCGGCATGCCCTGGCTGTTGGTAATCACCCAGGAGAATGAAAGAAAAGTCAAGAGGAGTCTGAGAAAGAGAAGAAAGACGTGTGTGACCATAATCGTCGGGAATTGAACCCGCAACCTCTCACATACCACTGCACCATATGGGACCCCCCCCCCCCCCACACACACACGTATGCATGAACAATGCAGGTGTGTGCCGTACCAATGATGGGAACATGACATGACCAGGTTCACTTAGTATTCCAAATGGACCATTAGCTACAAGGTCTTGTTCATTTGCAGGAATATCACTCAACATCAAGGACTGGTTCTGCACAAAGACAATGACAAAGACAAAAAACAAAGACAGACAGACAGACGGACAGACAGACAGACAGACAGAGAATACAGAAACAATTTAGTAGAGAGTCATGTGTGAAACTGGATGAGTGTAAAAGCCACTGACATGTTTCGCCAAACAAGGGCAACGAATGTGGTACAGACACAGGGATGGCATTTCCCTAGAGTGGACTAGTAACTTACCACCACCACCACCACCAGCACCAGCACCACCACCACCACCACCAGCAGCAGCAGCAGCAGCAGCAGCAGCAGCAGCAGCAGCAGCAGCAGCAGTATATACTGTGTACTGCTGGTGTACTACTTCAAAGGTCCTCTAGAATCTCTAGAATCTCTAGAATAAATCTAGAATCTGATATGCTGCAGCTAAGCTCTTGGCCATCTAGTAACTCAGAAACTTCAACACCGCATTGTCCTCTTGAGGCCGGGAGAGGTATAAAGGCGACTGCACGAGGCCCACTATACAACTGATGGTGCGGTTAAAAAGGCCGTGCTTACCTGTTGTTCAAGTGGAGATTGTGTCACTTCCGCCTTAGGTACGCAGATAGGAGATTCACTGCTTGGTAACAGAGCTGAAAACAGGCTCGATGTCCTGTCATCTGCATTTAGTTCTGGCAGCCTGCACAAAGACAGAGCGAGAGAGAGAGAGAGAGAGAGAGAGAGAGAGAATTGAAATCGATTAATTGAACAAAGTAACAACCCCCGCCCCTTCCACTTTCCAGTCTCTGTACCATTATTCATTACCTACACCAAGAACAAGCAAGTGAGCTGAAGTAAGCTAAAGTTCAGCATGGGATCCAACAAGATCTGCTTAAAAGCATGTGCGCACAAGGGTAGGATAGCAAGAGGCAATGATGCAAGAGAAGACACAAGGGTAGGATAGCAAGAGGCAATGATGCAAGAGAAGACACAAGGGTAGGATAGCAAGAGGCAATGATGCAAGAGAAGACACAAGGGTAGGATAGCAAGAGGCAATGATGCAAGAGAAGACACAAGGGTAGGATAGCAAGAGGCAATGATGCAAGAGAAGACACAAGGGTAGGATAGCAAGAGGCAATGATGCAAGAGAAGACACAAGGGTAGGATAGCAAGAGGCAATGATGCAAGAGAAGACACAAGGGTAGGATAGCAAGAGGCAATGATGCAAGAGAAGACACAAGGGTAGGATAGCAAGAGGCAATGATGCAAGAGAAGACACAAGGGTAGGATAGCAAGAGGCAATGATGCAAGAGAAGACACAAGGGTAGGATAGCAAGAGGCAATGATGCAAGAGAAGACACAAGGGTAGGATAGCAAGAGGCAATGATGCAAGAGAAGACACAAGGGTAGGATAGCAAGAGGCAATGATGCAAGAGAAGATTCACAGAAAATGATAATACTCTACTAATGGGAAGAGCATTATTGCGAGAAAAGTCACAAGTATGACTTAGATATTGATGCTTAGGCCCTCATCAGACTACATACATAGAAAATCCAGTACAAAATCACATAAAACCTAAAAGGCAACATTTTTCCATGCCTGCATTCAGACTACACATTTTGCATGCAATATACAGGCAACCTTTGACCCTACGAAATTTTGCAAAGGGCCTGGGATGTGTGAAAGCAGCGGACAGTCGTACCCGGGTACAAAGTTCGTACAACTGCCTGGTGAAAGTACGATAAATGCAGGAAAGTTGCCTTGTACAAGGGTTGGCCGCCTGCCTGAAATGATTGGGCAGCTTTTTAGGCTTCCCGCCAGATTCTTGTTGTTGTCTTGGAAACTTCTATGTAAATGTGACTTATAGGCTGTTTTGTACCTAGTCTGAAGAGGGCCTTAGCTAGCTTTGCATGCTTGCAAACACAATGCATCATATTACCTTGAGGCGGCGTTATCCGTTACATCTTCGCCGCCACTCTTATAGGGTGCGGGCATACGAAGAGGAGGAAATTCAAAACTTTCACGGGTGGTCGAGGTAGACTTGCTCTATTCAACATAAGACCAGATAGATAGACCAGATAGCAGGTAGATAGACCAGGCACAGAAAAACAATACACAATACTGACTGTTTACACAATATCGAAGCATATCCACTTTCCAATAGTGTATGTGTGCGTGTGTGTGTGTGTATGTGTGCGTGTTGCCTAAAAGCATGTACCAGCTAGTTTAACTTACCCTACAAAGAGCAGGGGCATGATGTTGAAGACCCACAGCAACGAGTGACAGATCCAAACCACCGGCGCAAAACAACAAGCAAGGACAGGACACAATTTAATAACAACGGTGCAGCATCTCCTGTTGCAGGTCTAAAGTACCACTGGCCAATGTATCAGACAAAGCAACAACAGAGAGGTTCAGTGACTTGTTTGTTTCATACACAAAAAGTCCATGAGTCAGGTCTGGGTGAGTCTTGTGGATATCTCGTATATGTATATTGGATTCGATCCCACGAGTCCGGGCTGTTAGGTTCGGTAAGTGGCTCCGAGATCGCACTGCCCCGAGTAAGGATACACCACAAGTTGGCACAACAAAACAAGAAGTACGATCTAGTACCCGTATATTTTTTACACCTGTAAACATTTCCGCAAACTACCACTATCTCAAACTAAGTTTCTCACGAAAAAACGGACATTAGGCGAGACCAAAATAAAATCGAGATTCCCAGCAGGACCCATGTGAAATTGGTGCGGATGAGCGAATTTTTTATTTTATTTATTTTTTCCTATGTACCGTAGTGTCTTGTATTCAAGCGTATCTCATAATATAGATATAGAATAATAGACGCCTGTTTTGAATAGAAGCCTGATTTTCAAGACAATACACAATTCAAACGAGAAACAAAATCGATTTTGCTACGTGTACGAGTCACTGAACCTCCCTAATGTTGTCGGTTTCATCAGAAGAGAGTCAGCCGTGTTCCACAAGCTGTTTAGCCCATTCTTATCAGTGGCACAGTACAGGTGATTGGGAAATGCATATACCAGAGTCAAAAGCAGCCCTGCATCTACAACAAAGACAGATGCAGGTGAACGTTAATGATAGATAGTGTAAAATAATGGAATTCGTCCAAAACAAGACTAGAAGTACGAAGTATTGTGGACAAGTACATGTAGTACAGAATTGAGCAACTGGACGGGAGTTTCAAGACCGCAGACAAACAGACAGCGCTCGTTCAGTGTTGACATTGCCGGTTCACATGAACTGTGCCTCAATGCCCCCTTCCCACAATGTCATGTTGATTCTGTGCGCACAATACTGATTTACAGCTGCAAATGCAATACACATTAAGCACTAGCTAGTGGCTACTGTAGACATAGTTCACCGTATATGCACAGTGAACAGCACGAGCAGCATGAGCAGATGTACCTTGGTTTGCTTGCTGTGCTGCTGGACGGTGTTACAGCGGCGGATGTGGCCACAGCTGCCCGGCGGTCCCCCATATAACCATCCATAGCGACTGGGGCAGCACGAGACGAAACATGGCACTTTGGACTGTGCAAGATGGAACAGCAACAGCAACAGCAACAGCAACAGTAGTATTGCTTAGATACTAATAGATAGTACAATGAGATATACTCAGATATTGGTTCAACCCTTTCGCTTCCGGGCATCTGACAGTGACAAAGTGCACTGTACTCACTGCCAGGATCAGCCGAAGAGCACACCTGCCCCACTGCCAAGCGGTTTACCTCCTGCTCAGACAATCAAAAAGGCAACTTCCAGTAAGAGAGAGAGAGAGAGAGAGAGAGAGAGAGAGAGAGAGAGAGAGAGAGAGAGAGAGAGAGAGATAGAGAGAGACAGAGAGAGATAGAGAGAGAGATGGAGGGACGGAGAAATTAACTAGACCAGGAAGCAGTGGAATGATAAAGTATGTGTATGTGTATAATGTAAAGACATACCTGAAGAGATTAATTTTGGTCTCCTTTGTGAAAGCAACCACCACAGTCAAGTCACAGTTTGCCATTTGGACACTGCCGACTCGGTGGGCATCATCTACAGGTTGGAAAGACAAACAGAAAGACACAATTACACAATTAACCCACATGCATGCACCTGCCACCGCACACCCAAGTGTGCGTGCACACACCCGCTAGGCCTTGTGGCCAAGCATAATAATTATTATGTATACACACGCATACACACGCATGTATTCCACATTGCAATATGCTTGCAAAACTTGCAAGCACCAGCACACCAAGCATAGAACCTAGTTGTGGGGGTTTGCCATTATCTTTTTTCACATTTGTCACCCTTTGAAATATCACCAATGATAGCAAATTGCCGTGTTAGCAAGAGCCATTGGGCACAACAAGCCAATGCATGGCTCATAATTCTTATCGCCTCATAACGCGCACAGCACGGCAATTTGTAACAAGCACAATTGGCAAACATGTCACCCGTCAACAGCAAACGGGTACATCGTTACAAACATGGTGCCCCGGCAAACTCAACGGGAACGCACCAGTACAAACACAGCCCCGGCAACAGCAAACGGGTACGCCGTTACAAACATGGTGCCCCGGCAACAGCAAACGGGAAGACACCAGTACAAACACGGCCCCTTATCATACTCAATTACTCATCCAGCAACCAGACATTCATCGCTAAGAGTTGGTTCGACATGAAGTTACAAAATGCAAGAAAATGCACTGTGTCCTTCCACTTCAAGTTCCCAAGCAGTAGTATTCTCAAGCACTATTACCTATGTAAGCATACTTTACACATTAGAGAGATTAAGAAGATACACTCGACCTGAAGGCAAATGCATGTGTCTGCGCACCCAGGTCCAGGAATCACACATGTTGCATGTCCGGTAATACGAAACAAAGTACTTGCATGTCCGGTAATACGAAACAAAGAACTAATTACTTGCATGTGTGTGGGTTGGCAAGCGAACCCACACAAATAAACAAACCTACACAAAACAACAACACGTGTGCGTTTACGAAATATTTCTCGGACAATGATGAGAATGCAAGAAACTGCCAAAAAACTTACTCAGACATGGCCCTACGCGAGTGAGGCCTCACGCATGTGTGGGTTCAGGTGCCACGGCCTACGTGGCTGGACCTTTCGGTGATTGGACCCGCTACATGTGTGGCCTGCATCATAATCTCTCTATTGCCTTTAAAGGGGAAGTTAAGGCAAAAATTAAAATTTCACCAGTTGTAGTCTTCGGGGTGCTGAGTCCAATGGTCTTGGTCCGAGAAAGCTGAGACGCTCCCTTCCTACTTGAATCCCAATCGAACTCGCGCACTTCCACCGAAACTGGGTGACTGCGCCCTACTAGATGGGGATTTGTATGCAAAATGTCACTAAAAGCGCCATTTCGTTCTTATAAAAGCACGGATGACCGCCATTGGCACATATGTTGTAGTCTTTTGGACGCTGAGTCGACTGGTTTTGGTCCGAAAAGGCTGCGATGCAGCGTTCCTCCTTTATTCCCAATCGAACATGGTTGAAGAAGCGGTCACGTGCTCCTGGGTGCCCAAATCACCTGGTCACCACGCCAGCAGGCGACAACTTTCACACCAAGGTTCAACTCGAGTGACAGGACTGCACCCAAAAAAGGTCAAACAGGCTAGTAAGTTGTACCCTGCAGGCACGGTGACCAGGTGACTGGCGTACGCAGGAGCACGTGACCGCTTGTTCAACCATGTTCGATTGGGAATAAAGGCGGAACGCTGCATCGCAGCCTTTTCGGACCAAAACCAGTCGACTCAGCGTCCAAAAGACTACAACATATGGGCCAATCGCGGTCATCCGTGCTTTTATAAGAACGAAATGGCGCTTTTAGTGACATTTTGCATACAAATCCCCATCTCGTAGGGCGCAGTCACCCAGTTTCGGTGGAAGTGCGCGAGTTCGATTGGGATTCAAGTAGGAAGGGAGCGTCTCAGCTTCCTCGGACCACGACCATTCGACTCAGCACCCCGAAGACTACGACTGGTGAAATTTTAATTTTTGCCTTAACTTCCCCTTTAAGAACTGGTAGTAGTAGTTAGTATCATTCAGAACATGATCTAGCCTACCCCCTACAGTAGAGCCAGTGTAGCAGGACACAGTGTATAAGCTGGGTACGTGCACTACTTACAGTCACTGAGCAGATCATCAAAAACAGCATTGGAATCCTCAACGCTGTCAACACACAGATACACACACACATACACACACACACACATACACACACACACACACACACACACAATAGTTCAAATAAAAACCGTGAAGGGAACGAGATACACACACAGAAATACACACACGCGTGTGCGCACACACGCGCTCTCACATACATACACACACACACACACACACACGAGAACAAACGCACACACAGATGTGCAAGCACCATAGTGCTTACATGCACAACATAGTGTGTAGTGTGTGTACACCGCAAAGGGTTTAACCCTTAAACACACACACACTGCAGGCCCGATAGAAGCAGTTTGAAAGTGATTATCCTAGTACCAGTAGCCACCCCGCAGCTTCCACCACCCCAGAACAAACCACATGAAGAACTGGTGTGCTGCAGTCCACAGTGATATAGGTATGTGCAGAAGTTATGCTGTAGAACTGGTATGCTGCAGTCCACAGTGATATAGGTATGTGCAGAAGTTATGCTGTAGTTCATGTTATACTGTAGTTCATGTGCATACGTTTCAGACATTTCTCAAGGATGACCCGAGATGAAAAATGGTCAGGCAAGGCCTGAAAGCGCGACATAGTCTGATGGCCCTATACCGGTACTGGTACATTACATGCACATAGAACAAGAAACACATACACACACGTTACTAACCTATACGTTGCTTCCATGTCTGGATTGGCTCGAGTCAAGCGAAAGACTGGCATGGATTTCACCATACACGTCGTAGCCTTCAGTATATCGCAAAGTCCCACGTACGCTTTAAAGTGGTGCCATGTGTCGCCAGGTGTCTTGTTTTTTCTGCACATCAATATGAAAAAGAACGAATTCATAAACAGCTCATGCAGCAAAACTGAAAACGCATAGACAGGGTCTGTAAGTTGTGCTGGCTACTATGTGTAGAGTGATGTGTGTAGAGTGATGTGTGTAGAGTGATGTGTGTAGAGCAAGTAGAGTACTGTGGCTACAGAGTGGCACTAGTAACCTCTTGCCAACACGGCCGACATTGCACAGTGATGTCACTTGGCTTGAAACACATACACACATCTAGTACCAGCAGTTTGCTTTCCCAAATCACAGCCGATGGCATCCATTTGGTGCTTGAAATTTTTCATTCTCACAATGGCCTGTTGTTGTTGTTGTTGTTGTTGTTCAAATCTTTATTCTTACGATAGTTGTTGTTGTTGTCGTCGTCGTCGTTGCTGTTGCTTTTCGGAACCAATTGCATGCAAGCACACACTTCACAATTTCTTTTAGGCATACCACATACATAACCTGTTGCATGTGAAACACACACGCACATACATGCACACACACACACACACACACACACACACACACACACACACACACACACACACACACACACACATACACACACATACGCATGCATGCGCGCGCGCACACACACACACACACACACACACACACACACACACACACACACACACACATGCATACACACACATGCATACACACGCACGAACACACACTGATGTGTCCAACCACGGCACTCACTATTCAATACAACATATAGAGTCTGGATAATATAAACGTATTATGCCACAGTGCCAGTGTAGCAGTCACTGGATGTGTGTTAGTGTAAGGAAAGGCCAGTCATGTGTCAGTCATGTGCATACTTTGGAGACAGTATTACTCTCCAGATCTCCAGCAACCTCTCGTCCTGGTCCAGCACAACAAGAAGAAAAAACACCAGAACAAACAATAAGAAACAGAAAAAGTGATACACACAGGGAGAAAGTGATACACACAGGGAGAAAGTGATACACACAGGGAGAAAGTGATACACACAAGGAGAAAGAGATGGACTCATAGCCAGACAGATCAGCAAAGATAAAGAGGATCAGACAAATAGTGAAAAGACATGATTTACAAATACAATTTCGATCCTTGCTGTCACTGCCTAGCCTGTATACGATGTGCTGTGCTGTGCTGTGTGTGTGTGTGTGTGTGTGTGTGTGTGTGTGTGTGTGTGTGTGTGTGTGTGTGTGTGTGTGTGTGTGTGTGTGTGTGTGTGTGTGTGTGTGTGGTGCTAGTGAAGCTTTTATCAGATCCACTCTGATTTAGCCACTCACACTAGTAGCAAATATTACCTTCACTGGGGGCAGGGGTAACTGCAGTTGGATCCCGGGACGGATACCTGATGCCGTCAATCCTTTTTCTGCACCTTGTCCTCACCCACTTACTGAGGTGTGGTGAGCCCATAAGTGGGATCATTTTCAAGTCCACCCAGAGTTTTGGGGATTTCAGGGGGTGTCGGCCGTTGGGCGGTTCAATAACCAATTGAGTCATCTTTCCAAGATTCCTTTTGAGTCTCTCTCCCCTCTCCCGGGGGGACTCACGTGACCAGTTTTGGCAGTGAGCAACAAGTACAGTGTGTGTGTGTGTGTGTGTGTGTGTGTGTGTGTGTGTGTGTGTAGTTGCAAAGGGCGCTGGCATTGTATGGATACTGCCCTGTCAGAACTCATACTTGTATTCAACTTACTGTGCCAATTCGAACACCAGCTGCCAGTGTGAGCATCTTGCTGGCCTTCGGGGATACTTCGCTGCTTAGCCATTCTACTAGACGTTGCGGCAACTTGGGCATACCCATAAACTGCAGTAGTCAGCGAAACATGTACACACGGTCACACATGTACACACCCATGTACATACGCACATACATATGCACACATGCACTCGTGCGCACACACACACACAACGCGAAAACACATGCTAAGCAAAGTAACAGCATGGCTAATGGCTAGAAAGCAATGTATAGCTCTCTGGAACAATATTTAGAGAGCGTGTACATGTAGCAGTATACACAGGGTCTAGAACACTGAGAACAATGAATCTTCAACTCAGAATACAAGTTTTTCAGAGAATGTCCTGTGATGTGTGCCAGGAGCATACCCAACACACACACACACATACACGCACACACACACACCTCAGACATGCCCATCGCAGAAGCGATGATAGCGAACAGCTATGTTAGACATAGCAACTTGTGCTGGGATTACACCATTCAACAGCTTGCAAGGCTGATGAATTGACCGCCACTATTTTTAGCCTCGTATCCACCACACAGCTGTTTGAAGTGACTTTTTCTGGCCAGTGAATCCCTATTTTTCTTTTTTTTTCCTACACACACACCACACCACATACTCCGGCATACACCGGCTGTTGGTAACCACCCAGGAGAATGAAAGAAAAGTCAGGAAGAGTCCGAGAAAGAGAAGAAAGACGTGTGCGACCATGATCGTCGGGAATTGAACCCGCAACCTCTCGATTGGAAATCGACTGCACATACCACTGCACCATATGGGACACACACACACACACACAGGCACACACACACACACACACGCGCGCACACACAGAGTTACTGACCCACTCTTTCTTGGAATTGCCTGTGACGGGTGCAGAGCACGGTGTCCGGGTACTGCCATAAGCAGCCCAGCTATGGAGTAGTATATGTGCAATCTACGCAGAACAAAACAAGATGCAATAAGACACATCGCCACAATGAATAAACCAGTACATGCCAAAAGCTTCCCATACATCAATCTCAGGCAGACATGCCCATACCAGTGTGGCCGGCACAATACAGTGGCACTCAAGTTATTAACTTATGCACCTCGTGACCCGTGTTGTACAAGAAAGTAATATTCAGAGCTAGGTAAATTCCTTGCACAGCCTATGCCTATGCAGTCCACTACTACTTCAGCAAGACTGCGTGAAACTTGGCTTGCTGCCTGAAATGATCAATTTCTCAAGACAAATGGCACCTGCTGAGAAAAAAATTTGAAGAAGAAGCGGTGAACTACAAAACGGCAGTGTGGAAGCCGATAAACCCATCAACGCTGATTGTCATGGTGCAGGAGCCAACTACATATAGTTGTAGTGATCTCAGTCATGGCCTGCCTCCTTTCCACAATGTTCTACAAAAGATACAATGGAGGACAAACTCGGCTAGTGCTCGTAAAAAGTCGGTTCAGATAAGACTATGATGAGGATAGTAGCATTAGCATTGCCACTCTTGTCACTTCATGATGCGAATCAGGATTCCACAGCACTGCACAGGCTTAATACTCATGTTATAGCTTTAACACTACCTGCCTACCGTAAATGCCCGTCAATACGCCTACCCAGTATAACGCCCACTACCCGTGTACGCGCCCAGTTGCCCAGTGTCAACACTCTTGTCTCATGTTTTAGTCCACCTCCGTGTAAACGCCCATGGGCAAAAGCACAGGCCCAGTACACAGTGCAGTGCATGCACAGCTCCACATGCATGCACGGTACTGTGTACATGACATTGTACTCATGAGTCATGTACTGTAGTATAACTTAGTGTACAGTACACTGTGCTAACCTTATACGTACCTGTAGTAGTAGGGCATGATGTGAAACCTAGTTTGATTTCACTTATCCGAAATAGCGCCCGGGCCCAAATTGACGCCCCTGTTCCTGACCTTCACTAACGTTTCCGCTCAGGGCCTTATTACGGTACCTACCTACCTACCCACAATGTACTACAGTAAATATCGGATACAACGTGCCCCTTTGATTTTCGAAAATTTATCACTATATCCGGTGCATCACTATAGCCGATTTGCATGTTTGACCGACACATGGCACATGACTGCACATGAAATGATGCGTACACGCTGGAAAAAGCATGCTGAAAGTGCATGCATGCTCCGCGGACTGTGTACCGGTGCATGACACAGAGCAGTGCATGGCAGTGCAGTACGAGTACAGACTGTACATGTACTAGAACTTCGATACATCATGTGGCATGGCTGCTTCTTCAGCGTGTTCTCCAAAAAAAAAGCCTGATCCGTACTCGCGTACTCGGTGTCCAACGAGTTGCGTAGAGCCAGACATGAGTGGCTGTGTACGTGAGTTCGCAACATCATCGTGAGAGGCAACACAGCCAGAAACGGACAAAAAGCGTGCAGAAAGATACAGAAAAGGACAATACCATACAAAGGGAGCGAGAGGTAGCGCAGCCAGAAAAGGACATGTGCATACAGAAACGGACAAGAGCATACAAAGGGAGCACATTGCAAGGGGTAGCACAGCCAGAAACGGACATGTGTGTGCAGGTAAAATAATGGGTTGGTGCAAAAAGAGATCATGAGTACGTCGAAAAAAACAATTGTTTTGTGATCATCACTCTTGATCATTATATGCGATATTTTCCTGTACATTTGATATGGTTTGCTTCCTGAAGTCCATCACAATAAGCGATATATCGGTATAGCCGATAATAGTGTATTATAGTGATATTTTAGCTGTATTTTTTTTCTGATTTGATTTTGATTTTGACGTGTTCTATCACTATAACCGGTATATCATTATATCCGGTCACTTTATAAACGATACTTACTGTACATGTATCCTGTGGTCACTGAGTACCGTAAAAGGGAATTCTCTTCAGTGGACGAATCTTTTTGATTAACTGTTACACCCGAAAGTCATGTTCCTCTGCCGGCGAACAATACAAGTCACATTGCTACCTCAGTATACTATACACGGTGATTATTCCCCGGTTTTTTGGTCTTTTCCCATTTGCAACTCCCTCAAACTAATGAATATCCGAGTCCATTCTTTAATGAATATCAGCACTATAATCCGGGAAAAAGAATTGTGGCCACTGCTCAAATCGTGAGCTCCCACTTTTCATTCCAGAATAGCGATTCCCATTGCAGTACAATACTATCTACAGCCGATGAGATGTTTCTATTAAGTGGTGACATCACTCTCGCAATCCCAATCAGGGGCGTCGGAAGGTATTTTAGTGTGGTACGGTCAGCCATCTGAAGTACTCGTGGTGGAGGGATGGCTGAGCCGAAAATTTTGGAAATTTACAGCCTAAATCAGTGCATTTTATTGATCCACGGAGTACTTGGGGAAAATAGTGGTACGGTCAATACCGTAGTGACCGTACCGTGTGCGACGCCCCTGCCAATCTTGTTCGTATTCTCCTCCTGTCCAACACGACCAAACTGCATTCAGAAAATCATCATCTGCATTCGCAATTTGCCTTTTCTTACGTACATGCACTACAAATGATTCATTCTGGTCTGATTTGTGTTACTATCAGCCAGCTACATGTACACGTAGTACCTACACAATCACACAGGTCAGATGATTTGTTTACTCATTTATACCGCCCCTGTTCAACTGCGATTGGCATCAGGCTTGCAGCCCCGGGAGTCTACTCCTGGACACAAGACTGACCCACACTGACCCACAGTACATGTAGCTGTGAACAATGACATACCAGTAGCCCAACACACAGATTGGCAGTGGTCGCTGAACAGACAAAATTCAAAGCTGTTCCTACAACTTACAGTTTCGTTGAAACGTTTCACATAACGCTCAGAGTCCTTGATTGCTTGTGTTTTGGACGCCATAGTTATCTTGTCGACAGGCTTTCTCTTCCGAGAAAACTCCTAACTAGCTGAGCGCAGAACAGCGACAAGAATGGGGTCTGCAAGTTCACATTGCTTGACCAATGTTGATATGCCCACTGCCGAATCACAGGTCGACAATGAGCCGAGGAAGCCACGCGGCTAGATTTCGCACGGAATCATAAGCTGTCGTGGAAGAGCGCGAGGCGCGCCGGGATTGGCCGTGAAGACGGCACCACGCAGAGGAGAATTCTCTAGACTCTACTGCACTTCGGGCCGAGGAGGCAATCAAGGGTCTATTTTACACAAAGGTGGAAATCTCCACCTATTTGCTGTCAGCTCCGCTAGCCAAGGTTTCTACGGTCGATGGAAGAATGATGAGGCCACGCTAGGATAAAAATGTGTTGTGACTTGATTTGAGGGTGGGTGATTGAGATGACAACTAGGAAACTTCAGCAAAGCTAACAAGAACGAGCACGAATGACTTTGTTTCTATTTTGACTGAAACAATAACTGTTCATGATCATCATTGTCAAGTCAAAGTCGTCCACTGGCACTCGGCTTCACTGTACGGCCGGCCAGACCTGGTCGTTACCTCATCATCAGCTGCCGTCGACGTCATGCATTTTTGAACTCGAGTGTACCCGATCGTGCCTCGCGCGCGCGCGGCTCGCGAGTCGTGGTCCGGCCTCGTGCGCATCCCGTGGAGCCGGAGATCGAGATCGAGACGCGACGGACGCGCGACGTGACGCGGAGCTACAAAAAAGTAGTAATAATTACTGTAAAATATTAACTGGTTTGAGGGAAAGAGACAAACGGGAAAAGTCTGAAGAAAAATAATTGACTGTCACAACCAGGACTCGAACCAGGGACCTTCGCTTGTAGCCAGCGATGCTCTAACCACTGAGCTATGGTGTAGTCGTCATCCCAGCAGAGGCCGTACAACAAAATTACTGTAAAAGCAGAAATTTTCGGTGGTGTAATATTTTCGGTATTCTCCAAAATCGGCGGTTCGGTAGAGGGAAATTTTCGGTAAAACCCGTTCTCCAGGTAAGTGTACATGACTGTATACAGTATCGGTTGTACCGAAATTTTCGGTGCGTTTTATTTTCGGTAAAAATTGTCGGCACCGAAGTTAGTAACCGAAAATAAAACACCACCGAAAATTTCTGCTTTTACAGTACAGAGAGTACCGGTATACATGCTGCTGCTAGCATGCTGGAGTCGACGCGATCGCGGTCTGGCGACTGGCATGCATGCCCGCAGTGCGCTACTCCGCTAGCGCTAGCATATCGCTTTACTTGTACTTGTGGCTTTTTGTGCATACCGCGTACTCTACGCTCGTACCGGTACTCGTATGTCGACTACTATCGTACTCGTATGTCGACTACTACCAAGAGTTCATGAACTCTTGCTACTAGTAGATCTACTAGTACTAGTAGTAGTATGCAGGAGCTCGATCGACCGCTCGCGCTAGCGCGCGCTAGCGCTACGCGCTTACGCGTACGCATATGTGTGAGTGTGACGTGACATGCACTGACTGCGTGCTAGCAAGAGTACATAACCCCCCAGAGTGTGCAACTCCACTATGGGTGCTGTCCCGACAGAATTTCAAGTTGACGTCATTTTGATGATGCAATGCGCACTGTACACGGATTATCAGACGAATCCGGAACCTGTGGTTGACCGAAGCCGATCGATCCTGTACAAAATTAATAGGTTGAAATTATTGCAAAGAAAAACGTGTGATGCGTTGACGCGTCACCCGTACACATGTTGTAAATCACTGATGCAAGGCAAGGAGCATTGCGTCATAAATAATGACGTCAACTTGAAATTCTGTCGGGACAACAGGGTATGTGGGAGTTGCACACTCTGGGGGGGGGGGGGGGGGTTATGTACTCTTGGTGCTAGTACTAGTACTAGTAGACCAAGCGGTGTCGCGACATGTACATACATGTCCCCTATCCCTGGCTGAGAAACTGGAGATCCTGGAAGCAGACAAAACGGTCAACATCAACAAAAGGTCGGAGTTGGTGTCGAAATGCAGACACGAGAACAAGTATTACCTGTCCAGATTGTTGTTGTAGTTGTAGAAGTTTATTTAACGTCGCACCACAAACAGGCGATTTCGCCTCCTTTGATACATGTGGACGACAGAAGGAATGAGAGAGAGGGGGGGGGGGGGGGGACAGAAGTATGGAGAGAGGAAGGGTAGAAATAAATAAGCAATCAACCTCAGGGCTACACCAAAGCAAAAACGGAATGGGAACATACTATATACAAAATAGCTTCATACATATATTGCAAACACGTTTACTATTCTTCAGTCCGCTATACCACAGAAACACACTAGCCGAAAAGCATCTAAGCGGAGCCATGATGCGCTTTTAGCAGGGCACAGAACTGAAGGTGGCTGGGCTCGGAACGGAGATCAGGCGGGAGCTGGTTCCACAGGACTGCGCCGATGAACTGCATGGTCGCTCGACCCGCAGGACCGGGCCAAAATGGTACTCGAACGAGGTGATGTGCTGCTCCCCGAGTGCGGTCACCAGTAACTCTCACGAAGAAGCTGGTGAAGAGGGAGCTAGCTCGGGAGAACAGACAACGACGGACAAAGATTCTCACCAGCAGTTACGTGAGTTTTTCAACATGGCGCAACCTGCACCAGGTTTGGCGCCATGGTGCTTTCTCTCGACTCCCCCTCTTCACTCCTGCTGTGGTCTTGCGCTACTGTCGCTATCGCCTTTGATGACTCGGTAACACTGTCCTGTTATCGCCTCTATTCTCACCTATATCCGTTAACTCTCACAAAACAACTCGACAACAACGACATTGTCCCCACGTCTTCACTTCGCACATACCGTATTTCCGCAAATAAAAGGCCGTCCTCGTATACAACGCCTTCCTTGTATACAAGGCCGGGGCAGGGGGCGATTGAAAAAATAAAAGACCGTCTCCGATTAGAAGACCGGACCTACTAAAATTAATGAGTCTTTGTTCTTGTGTTAAAAATGGAAGACCGTGCTCAAACTGTAGGAAAAAAATAGAAGACCGTGCTCAAACTGTGTAGAAGAAAATGGAAGAACGGGGGTAAAACTGTGTGGCGAGAAATAGAAGACCAGGGTCAAACTGGGTTGAAAGAATAAAAGACCGTCCTCGAATACAAGACCGTCCTCGATTATAAGGCCGGGTTAGGGCGAGGTTGAAAAAATAGTAGACCGGCCCACTATTTGTGGAAATACGGTATGCACTAACTTCCACACTTGCATCAAATATAATCTAGCATACTAGGCCTGCTCGTAGAGAATTCGATAGTGAATGCTGCTGTCTGATGATCGCTCCGATGCGTGAAACTTTAAGTTACAGCTAACACAGCCTTTCGCCTCTGTTGTGTGTGTAATTATGATTATTATTATTATTTTGACTGGTTTTGAGGGAAAGAGACAAACGGGAAAAGTCTGAAGAAAAAATTGACTGTCACCACCAGGACTCGAACCAGGGACCCTCGCTTGTAGCCAGCGATGCTCTAACCGCTGAGCTATGGTGTAGTCGTCATCCAAGCAGAAACCATTATTAATATTATTATTATTATGTACTAGTGCACTCACAGTCAGTTCTAGACTAGCTAGATTCTGCAAAAAAAGACTCAATGCATGCATGCATATGCAGTGCATTCCTCTCGCCTACATATTTTTGTATCGCCCTCGAATATAAGTGATGATCATGATCATGCATGATGACTGTATTTCGAAATTTGCTTTTAGAATTCTCTATGTCTTCGCTTTATAAATATGTATCTAATATCAAGAGTTCAATCATAACCCTTGCTAATATCGATAACGATACGACGATAGATCAACAAGTGACAAGAAACTATGATTTCCTTCAGTCTGACACAGCCACTAGGCACTAGTAACGCGTTAACGGTTACAAATGCACATTTTTTCACCTCGAGGCCTCGTACTGTCAAGAGATAATGATACGAATAACGTGCCTGCACATCACACCATCACACCCTGTACTCATACTCATGCACCAAAATCTGCCGATGATTCTCTCGCAGAAGCACACCCAGTTTCGGTTCATTCATTTGAACACAGACGTGAACTCTAACTATATTTTGGATGCATGAACTTCAGTTCAGTGCGAAACTGACGGTAGCAGTTTGGCCCGGGTCATACTTGCCCTGCAACATCTATGATTTATCCATACAATTCATAATAATATGTCCAGAAAATCTAGATACTATTTATACTAGGTCATGAAATTCACATTAAACAGCTAAAAGGAGACTGAGGAAATTGACACAGATTCATCCCACGGCTAACTGTAGCAACTAAACAAATTGAGGTAATGATGGCTTGGTGACATTTGGCACAAACAGAGAGGTCTAACAAATAAAATACAGTCAACTGCGCTAATAATGACTGCGGATATAACGACAATTCGCGAATAACGACAGCCTTGAAGAATTTCCATGCCCAGAGCAAAGTCCCATCTAACTGTAAAGCGGGATTCACAGAAGCTTTTTTGCGATGCGACAGACGCGAAATCGGGAAAACCCCAAATCGCAGCCATGTCGCACCCCATGCAACTGCCGCAACTGGGCCATCGCAGGCCATCGCAGAAGTTGAGCTTGGCTCAACTTTTGCGATGCGATGCGACAAGCGATTTGGCGTACGATTTCGACCTTTTCCACAGCAAAGTTGTACAAAGGTTCAAGAGTTGCCTATAAATTTGTACAAGTTGTATCAAACCGCGCGAATATCATGGTGACGTAGCCAAATCAGCAAGACTTTGTCGCATCACTGACTTCTTCTGTGAATGGTATTTCGCGAGTTCGCATCGCACGCGTCCGTCGCAGATCGCGTCGCATCGCGTGTCGCATCGCAAAAAAGCTTCTGTGAATCCCGCTTTATACATAATTATAATGAGACTTCGGGTATAAGGACACTTCGCGAATAAGGACACTTTTCTGATGCCCCATCCAGTGTCGATACACAAAGTTGACTGTATATACCTCAGTAGCGATGGTGTATTGGCGGTGGCGGCACAACCACTTCGATATCATCATGCTTGCCATGCCATGCTTGCCAGTCAACTGTATGCTGGTGCGGTTATCCTGAGCCAGCCGTGATGAGAATGTGAGAACGGTATGTGTGTGGAATTTCTGCAACAGTTGCAGCTCCTAGGTGTATGATCATAATCATGTCATGATGCCGCCCAGACCACGCCTGTGAGCCTACAGTCTACGGAGCACCAGTCACGGACTCCACTACACTACATGATTGTAGTAATGCTGGCGCTGCAATGAGTTGACAACACGGGATCAAGATCACCACTCACGGGGTAAATGTCACGCTTGTAGCATGGACACGTCAGCCATGCTGAGAGCCAGGCAATATCCATACACAACTTGATGCACGCACACACATGTGACCGAGCACACTGGAAGGGGCAGTGTGCAGCGCGTCACTCGCGGGTGTGATCAGCAGTGATGCAGACAAAGAGTACTGACAAGGGATTGAGCAGCAGAACTAGGAGAGTGCAAGTAAGCAAAACTTGACCAGGTATAGCTGAGCCAGTGAAGCTCCATCACCACCATTGTCAGAGTCAGCTGACCTGGGAACATAAGGAAAGGAGAGAAGAGAAGAGGAGAGAAGAGGCAAGACGAGGAGAGAAGAGGAGAGAAGAGGAGAGAAGAGGAGCAAGATGAGAGAAGAGGAGAGAAGAGGCAAGACGAGGAGAGAAGGGGTCTAATCAAAGCAGCACACTACAATGATCACTTACTGCTGTCATAGAAACAAACACTGAATTTTCCAAAAATTTAAACAACTAAATTCTCCCAGTGGATACTTTCAAGTAACAGTAACGAGCATGCATAGTGCCATGTAACCATGGTAACCAGGATGTCTGCATAGTGCCATGTAACCAGGATGTCTGCATAGTGCCATGTAACCAGGATGTCATCAAGAGTTCATAACCCCCAAGAGTGTGCAATGGGCATAGACCCAGCGCTCGGCGAAATTCCTACATTACATCATGCACAGCTTGTCATCCGAGGTAAATTTGGGTTCTTTGCGATTTCTGGAAACTATACCCTGAACCGCCCCTAACTCAAGGCTGTAGCCTCGACTTTTCGAAGCTTTTTTTGAAGACATTTCGGTACAAGTCGTACTTTCTCAAAAACGAACTCTTTCTCCAAGAATCCATGGACATCGCGACAGGAAGAAGTGAGGACGCTGTTAAAAATATTGCATTGCCGTCGAGGACAATCATTCTGATAGCTGTGCAACTCAGCCGAAAAATGCTCCTTCGACGTATTCTCAAGTTCCTCAACCATTTGAAATTATCTTCCAGGAAAGCACCAGAAATATGCCGATGGCCTGGGGAAGAAATTGTTCTTGAAGATGGTGAAAGAAGAAGGCGATGAAGAGTCACCATTGCATCGAAAAAAATAGTTTTGTCTTTCATGTGCATACTTAGTTTCACTTTTGCTTCTTGACTCGAGGCTCAGACTAGAATCGCAGTTTAGGCAGTTTACCCTGGGGAAGCATCCTGGTTTGACTGTAAATTTTAGAAGAATTCATCGGCGTGACTCATCGCACTGCACCAAAAATGACGCAATGAAGGAATTCGGCCGAGCGGGCTTCCATACAGGGACTGATCAGGAGTTGCACACTCTTGGGGGTTATGAACTCTTGATGTCATGCATAGTGCCATGTAACCATGGTAACCAGGATGTCATGCATAGTGCCATGTAACCAGGATGTCATGCATAGTGCCATGTAACCAGGATATCATGCATAGTGCCACGTAACCAGGATGTCCAATGCTCCACATCACTGGTCAATCAATGTAAGGGCAGATATCATGTGTTCAACTATGCTATCAACTATGCTATCAACTATGCTATCAACTATGCTATCAACTATGCTATCAACTATGCTATCAACTATGCTATCAACTATGCTATCAACTATGCTATCAACTATGCTATCAACTATGCTATCAACTATGCTATCAACTATGCTATCAACTATGCTATCAACTATGCTATCAACTATGCTATCAACTATGCTATCAACTATGCTATCAACTATGCTATCAACTATGCTATCAACTATGCTATCAACTATGCTATCAACTATGCTATCAACTATGCTATCAACTATGCTATCAACTATGCTATCATTCCTGTTCAATACATATACTCGAAGTACATGTACAGTCAACTTGGCTTATAACGACACTCGGCGGGGCATCAGAAAAGTGTCGTTATTCACAACGTGTTGTTATACCCGAAGTCTCATTATATGTATTACAGTTGGATGGGACTTTGCTTTGGGCATGGAAATTCTGTCGTTATTCGCGAATTGTCGTTATATCCGCAGTCGTTATTAGCGAAGTTGACTGTATATGTAGCATTATGCAGTGACTTGAGCAGGAAGTTGAACACTCCGACATGGGTAAAGACAGGAATGGCGGAACACACATACCCAGCCTATGAATGCTGCACTAAAACATACCCAGCCTAAGAATGCTGCACTATAAGTATAGTAAAACATACCCAGCCTAAGAATGCTGCACTATAATTATAGTGAAGTATCTAACTCACGCTGATTCTCTGCGGAATGCGAATGCTCACGGCCAGCGCTCAATGGTGCAAGCCAGGCGTGACAAGCAAGCAGGAGAAAGGAGTCAGTGTCTCAATTGATGTACTGGTGGCGCGGTTTGAGCAGACAATGTCTACTTTGCTGGACACACGCCTCGCCGCCATTATTGGGCAGAACGAGGACCTGAAGGCAGAAGTAGCCAGTCTCAGTATCCATGTTGACAAACTGGAGCGGGAAAACGCTGAGCTTTCTAGTACCGTACGTTTTGTGACAGATGAGGCTATGTCGAGTTCCGGTACAAGCAGTAGCACGGCTGCCACTTTTAGCAGCGTACTCAGTACAAACATCCTTCCCCCACGTGGATCAGCTCTGCAAGAGCTGGTGGCGGAGGAAGTGGAGCGTGGTCAACGACAGTGCAACATTATAGTACGAGGTGTACCAGACGAGGTCACCGCCAACACTGCAGTACACTTCTGCTGCGAGACACTACAAACAACGGAGCAAGAAATCGTCTCAGCCGACAAGCCACCTACCCAAGATTCTGCAACACGCGGCACAAAACGAGTACTCCTTGTTCGGTTCAGGGACCTAGCCAACAAAATCCGGGTGCATTCCTCAAGGTTCAATCTGCGCACAGAGGGTTGGCCACTCTATGTCAACCATGATCTTACCCGAGCCCAACAACTAGCACGAAGAGAACTCCTGCCTAAATACAAAGAGCTTCGTAAACACAACATCCGCTGCTCCTTGCAATACGGGGAAATCCTGGGCGACAAGGGACGGCCACTGGCTGCAGCTGACATCCAGCAACTGTAGTCTGCCTAGGGCACACTAGGGAACCCCGGGCCAACTCAACAGCAAGCTGAGCTGATCATAGCTCATATCAATATAAGAAGCCTCCGTAGTAAAGTTCAAGATATCCATAAAATTCTGTCTGATCACAAAATCCATGTCTGTCTATCTGTCAACGAGACACATGTGGACAGCAGTGTAAGCGACTTTAACCGAGCGTCCCTTTAACCGAGCGTCCCTTTAACCGAGCGTCCCTTTAACCGAGCGTCCCTTTAACCGAGCGTCCCTTTAACCGAGCGTCCCTTTAACCGAGCGTCCCTTTAACCGAGCGTCCCTTTAACCGAGCGTCCCTTTAACCGAGCGTCCCTTTAACCGAGCGTCCCTTTAACCGAGCGTCCCTTTAACCGAGCGTCCCTTTAACCGAGCGTCCCTTTAACCGAGCGTCCCTTTAACCGAGCGTCCCTGGCTATAAGATATAACGTAACGACAGAAATCTCCATGGAGGAGGAGGAGTCTGCTTCTACGTCACAACCCAGCTAAGTGGAACTGTGCTACCACCTTCTACTAGTATTTATCCTGAACTTGAGACCCTACACGTTATTCTATTTATCCTGAACTTGAGACCCTACACGTTATTCTATTTATCCTGAACTTGAGACCCTACACGTTATTCTATTTATCCTGAACTTGAGACCCTACACGTTATTCTATTTATCCTGAACTTGAGACCCTACACGTTATTCAACCCTGTAACCATGGTAACAATAGTCATTCTAGTAAATTGATATCCTTAGTAGTGTGTACCGTCCTTCCTGTGCAACAGTTGAACTTTGGGAACATCTTTCTGAGCAGCTGGACTCGCAGGTTGTTCGCAACAGCAAGTGCATTGTCCTGGGTGACTTCAACACTAATGTGCTGGAGCCACGTTCTCATCACTATGCTCACCTGCAACAACTATGCTCGAGTCACTGCTTATCCAACATAGTCAACGTAGCCACACAAACGCCGTCCGACACGTGTCTGGACCTGGTTCTGGTAGAGGAGGGCATCACAGTGAACACCGCATCAGTGTCACCCCTTGAAGATATTAGCGATCATCATTTAGTCAAAGTGTCCCTCCAACGACACGACTCGAGACCAACATCCGAGCACTGCTACCGCTCTGTTCGCAAGCCGGGCATTTCAAGCATTGATTTCAGCAAATTTAATAGAGATCTGCAGGCAGAGCTAGAAGGCCATTGTTCGGATGACCCGACCCTAAACTGCTACACACAACGCGTAACCACATCCATTTCGGGAATGACTGATAATTTCTCTCCCATCTGCTGCATTCGGATGCCAAACTGTCCGAAACCCCAGCCTCAGCCTTGGATTACACCGCAGTTTCAGCATTTAACTGATAGTGCTTCAATCAAACAGCAGTATCGAGCCGTTCGACGCGAAGGAAAAATTCTCAATCGCAAGCTGAAATCCCAATATCTGATCCAGAAATTTTCCCAGCTCAAGCTCGATCCACGTGGACAGTGGGCACTGCACAACACTCTCGCTGGCCGGCGGAAAGTAAGAACCCATCCAACTGCATCCCTCAACAGCCTGACAGACACATTTGCAAACATAGTTCATGACGCAAGTCGGCCTGTTGCTTTATGTCTACTTCCCCCACCCAACAACCGACCACTGCTGCTAGACTGTCCCGCTTTCGACCCGTAACTGTGGAGTACATCACCGAACAGCTGAAAGCCATCAACGTGAGTAAGTCTCTTGGCTCTGATAACATCCTGCCAGCAATTTTGAAGCACGGTCGGGCATCTATAGCGGTTTCCCTCACTAACATAGTTAATAAGTCCCTAAGCACTGGGTGCGTGCCAGAAGTGTTCAAGAATGCCACGGTTAGCCCAGTCTTCAAATCTGGTGATGCGCATAGCTCTACAAATTACCGGCCAGTTTCTTTATTGCCCATATGCAGCAAGATTTTGGAACGGGTTGTGTTGGAGCAGCTACTTGTATTTTTCAAGCTACATAAGATCATGTACGTGCCTGCCAATCAATTTGCCTACCGAACTAATAGCTCATGCGAGGACTGCTTGGCGTTAGTTGCGGATGAATGGATGAATGCCCTTGATCAAAATGAGTACTGCGGCATAGTGTTTGCTGATATGAGCAAAGCGTTTGACAGAGTTAAGCACCAAGAGCTCATTCAGGAGTTGAAGATGCTTGGCATTGCAGACATTGCCCTTGAATGGTTCGCTAGCTATTTAACCGGACGTGCACAGAGTGTAAAAGTAGGACAGCAACTAGGTGAGGCCCGCCCTTGCACTAGAGGCGTCCCTCAAGGCTCTGTACTTGGCCCACTATTATTTTGCATTTACATCCGTGATGCGCCACAATGCTTTCAATACGCCTCAAACAAACCTTTTGCAGATGACATTACTTTTCACGTAAGGAACACGTCCTGCCAGATCGTCACGACCCAGCTAAGTGATGAACGCTCTGGATCGCTACCTGGATAGGAAGAGCCTGCTCCTGAATCCGCCCAAGACCAAGGCTGTGATACTCCGGCGACCTGGCAAAGAGTTGCCACCTGGCACAGCTGTAAACTGCAGGGACACTCCCATAGCCCCATCTACCTTTGCTCGGTATTTAGGCATACTGGTCGACGAGCATCTATCATTCTCCAATCAAGTGGACTCTGTATGTGCAAGTGTCAGCAGGAAGGTTGGAACATGTGTGCATGCGAAACAGAACATTAGCATGTTTGGCAAACGCCTGCTCAATTTATCGATAATTCAGTCCACATTTGAGTTCGGCAGCACCGCGTACATTCATTGTTTGTCACAAGCACTATATACCAAGCTTCTCACTGCCAGTCGTGTGGCACTAAAAAGAATACTTTCCTTGGATAGAATGACTCCCACTGATGTTCTATACAGCTACACAAACCTGTATACCCTCGAGCAACGCCTTACCTATAAAACTTATGTACTTGTTTATCGCTGCCTGAATGAATTGGCTAGCTTCCTTTTGTGTGATCGCTTTACTGTAAGACATGTATATATAACGAGGAAGCAAATCTAACGTTTTAACGGATGACATTTCTTCGTTATAATAAGATCCGTTGAGGCCGTACTGCTTCATATATGCTGTGTGTGGATATGGCAGAATACTGCAAGATCGTTAACATATCTTCTCGTTAACCTATGAATTTTGGACAATCGTTAAATTTGCGACTCGTTCTAATAACATGTCTTACAGTACCTTGCGAGCAAATGGTCCCCACACTGCAGCCACCACTCGTGGACAAGTTTCTGCTACCCTTGTTCTTCCCCGTGCTAACACCCGATTTGGTTTCAGTGCAATTTCTTACTTAGGTGCTGATAGGTGGAATGCACTGCCACCGGCTTGCCGTACGCCTAGGTCACCAGCTGAATTTCACGCATCTATCAAAATGTTCCTAGGGTTCCCTGTAAAAAGGCGTCGCCGCCTGTTGGGAATTCCCTAGTAAAACAAGAATAAATAATCACTTGACTGACTCAGTCGTGAGTCAGTCAAGTGTCAAGTAAAGTCGGCGGAATAGCGCGAGCTCCGGTGTGGGGAGCAAACCTTTCTTACAAATCATCGCCGAAGTCGCAACCACTACTTCATAAATAATAATAATATAACATTAACTGGTTTGAGGGAAAGAATAATTATAATAGGCTGGATATGTTTTGCCGCCATTCCTGTTATGTAGTGCAATGCAGTACTAAGTTAGTGGGCAATGGCAGCATCAGCACCACCAACCCTCTGCGGAAACCTACACTAGGTTGCAGTATGGCAGATGCACTTAGTTGTAGAAGAATCTCCGTGGGCGGCCCAGCATTGACCAGGCAAAGGTATCCAGAACAGCAGCACAGTGCTGCCAAGTCCCAACCTCTCCATTGCGTTCTTCAAACCAAGTGTATGCTGTCAAATGCCATGTTCAAAAGATTTCCACTGATTTGCGCACATATACTACCCTCGGGTGATACACTGTTAGAAGTCATTGAACTTACAGTGCGTTTCAAAAATATAGACGCGTGATTTCAAAAACTGTTAGGCCAGCATCTATACCACATAAAATCTGTGATTACTTCGTGCATAAATATTTCGAAATTGGGCGTTTGCTATCCGATCGCTTAAAAATCTATATGAGAGTAATTGCGGGAAGGACCTGAGCAATATTCCGAAAAACATTCTCAAAAAGATCCAGCCAAATTCGAAGTATTTCAAAAATACCATGCGTCTATATATTTTTGAAATGGACCGTAGCTTTGTCATGTAAGAGTTCATGCTTCAAGTCTTTGTCCGTGTGTACTGGACAAACAACTGCAACTGTCTGGCTACATTGCAGCTTATGGTGCATCTGACCACCTGACCCAGCAGCTTTGCTCTAAAATTTAGAAAGTTCTTTACCACAGAGTGAATTCTTCAAATTCTATGGAATAATTCAATCAAAATCCGTACTACTTCAAAGAAGTACAGATAAATTTCAGTTTCCGCAAGAATACAGGCCAATGTGGACAATAGTCATTGTGGCATACTACTCACCCTGTACTGGGAAGGTAGTGTAGGAAAACTCCAAGATGAACTAACAATGATACAATTGCCGCTTTCAGCCACTCAACATTGTCATGCAGGACCACCAGGTGACCAGAGTGCCTAGCAGTGAAGCGACATATACGCAAACCCAAACAGACACGCACACACAAACACACACACGTGTGCACGCGCACGCATGCACACCCGCACACACACCCGCACACACGCGCACACACACATACCCACACCCACACACACACGCCCACACACACACACAGAGTCAAAAAATAGAATGTTATGCCAGTATCACCAGGGGCGTCGAAACTGATGCCGCAGGTGCGGGCAAAGCCGCACCAATAATGTAATCTTGTGAATAGAAGAAATAAAATATATGGGCTATTTGCCCATATGTTGAGTGGAGTTGGAACCAACATGGCTGCCTCATGTGGTCATGTGACAGATGTGAAAGCAATCTATACGTAGGCTCACCCAAGCTACACAAGAACGGGAGTGAACTTTAGAATGAAGCGCATTGTGCATGCTGCGAGGGTGCTCAGCTGAAGAAGTTTCCGAAACACAAAGCAAAAAATGTGCAATGAGCATAACTCCCTTCGAAGCATCGTATTCTCTTTTGCTTTCGTTTGTTGTCGCATGAAGACTTTGCTTTTTCGAAGTCTTTTCTGCCGTTCTTGATTCTATGTTAGGGCTTAAAGAGAAAGGGGGAGGTGGCGATACTTGGACTGCATAAAATAGACATGCTGGAAAGCAAAACATGTTTATGATGTCTTGTGTTGAACAGCACTCTGAGGCAGACCACATTTGTAGTTAGCTAATCCATAATCGATACAAGGACAAACCAAGCTTACTGCGAGGTGCCTTCGTATTTCCTTAACTCTTACCCCAGGTTGTGTTTGTTTCCTGAACTCTTACCCCAGGTTGTGTTTGTTTCCTGAACTCTTAACCCAGGTTGTGTTTGTTTCCTGAACTCTTACCCCAGGTTGTGTTTGTTTCCTGAACTCTTACCCCAGGTTGTGTTTGTTTCCTGAACTCTTACCCCAGGTTGTGTTTGTTTCCTGAACTCTTACCCCAGGTTGTGTTTGTTTCCTGAACTCTTACCCCAGGTTGTGTTTGTTTCCTGAACTCTTACCCCAGGTTGTGTTTGTTTCCTGAACTCTTACCCCAGGTTGGGTTTGTTTCCTGAACTCTTACCCCAGGTTGTGTTTGTTTCCTGAACTCTTAACCCAGGTTGTGTTTGTTTCCTGAACTCTTAACCCAGGTTGTGTTTGTTTCCTGAACTCTTACCCCAGGTTGTGTTTGTTTCCTGAACTCTTAACCCAGGTTGTGTTGTTTCCTGAACTCTTACCCCAGGTTGTGTTTGTTTCCTGAACTCTTAACCCAGGTTGTGTTTGTTTCCTGAACTCTTACCCCAGGTTGTGTTTGTTTCCTGAACTCTTAGGGCGCGTTCAGACTGGCGTGAATAGCCGCCGGAAAGCTGCAGCGTAATCCCGGGAATCGCAATCACACTGCACGTGTATCCCGCTGGAATGGCCAGTACATGTGAAGCTTCGACATTTGAAAAATTTGAGTTGACTCAGTTTGAGTTGGATATCAAAATAAACTAATTCAGTCTGTTGAGATACTGGATCATTGTGCTTTTGCTTGTGCTTGTCGACGGAAAGAATACTATGTCCGGAGTGTTTGGTGCTTGCGTGGCATTCATCCGTTTCGCGATCAGAGTATGCTTCTCGTTCGCAGTAACGTTTTGCCTGCAGAGCGGCCCGCAAAAATCACCACGTACAGCTCCATGAACTCCCTCTCCATTGCTGAATCGAACAAAGATTTCGGCATGATGGGAGAAGTTGGCAGTCTAGAAGTCAAAACTCAAAACTCAAAAGCATGCAGTCAGACTGCAAGAGTAGAGGCTGAAATAAAACGAAAAGACGGAACATGTGCTGCAAGGATATCAAAAGCGCTCCGCGTTCCGCCGGAATCTGCATTCCACTGGCCTGCAGAGTGGTGGGAAACCTTTTCCGTGTTTACGCTGGCGGGAACGTCACGTGAGCGATTCACCTTGACAACTTTCACATTCCGCCTGTTTTTTACGCCAGTCTGAACGCGCCCTTACCCCAGGTTGTGTTTGTTTCCTGAACTCTTACCCCAGGTTGTGTTTGTTTCCTGAACTCTTACCCCAGGTTGGGTTTGTTTCCTGAACTCTTACCCCAGGTTGTGTTTGTTTCCTGAACTCTTAACCCAGGTTGTGTTTGTTTCCTGAACTCTTAACCCAGGTTGTGTTTGTTTCCTGAACTCTTATCCCAGGTTGTGTTTGTTTCCTGAACTCTTAACCCAGGTTGTGTTGTTTCCTGAACTCTTACCCCAGGTTGTGTTTGTTTCCTGAACTCTTAACCCAGGTTGTGTTTGTTTCCTGAACTCTTACCCCAGGTTGTGTTTGTTTCCTGAACTCTTACCCCAGGTTGTGTTTGTTTCCTGAACTCTTAACCCAGGTTGTGTTTGTTTCCTGAACTCTTAACCCAGGTTGTGTTTGTTTCCTGAACTCTTACCCCAGGTTGTGTTTGTTTCCTGAACTCTTAACCCAGGTTGTGTTTGTTTCCTGAACTCTTAACCCAGGTTGTGTTTGTTTCCTGAACTCTTACCCCAGGTTGTGTTTGTTTCCTGAACTCTTAACCCAGGTTGTGTTTGTTTCCTGAACTCTTACCCCAGGTTGTGTTTGTTTCCTGAACTCTTAACCCAGGTTGTGTTTGTTTCCTGAACTCTTACCGCAGGTTGTGTTTGTTTCCTGAACTCTTAACCCAGGTTGTGTTTGCGTAGGAAACAACATATTTGTACTTTACTTGCTTTCACACGCTTTGAATCCGTGTGACTAAACATGAATTTGAATCCGTGTGACTATAGTCCATTTCAAAAAGATTAGCAATCAGGTTTTGGTCTTAAAAAGTATGAAGATAAGGGAAATTTGGACAACAAAGTACATAGAATGGCTTGTTAGGACACGGCAAATTGTTCTGTGAAGGTTTCGGAACAATTGGACCAGCCGTTAAGGAGTTAGAATTTCGGCCAGGTTTCCGGCCTTTTCCCATGGTATACAATTTTCCCTGGATGTCAGTATCGATTTTTATCAAAACCCACGATTTATCCTTTCCTTTTTGGCCTTGTGGTTATGAATGCTGTCTGCTGACCATGAAGTTGTGAGTTCAAATCCCAAACTATCTTCAAGTCAAACTTTTTTCATTGTTTTGGTGATCACGCTGGTACAAAAAGTACCAGCCAAAGAAGGTGGCTGCGCCAAACGACTTGTTGTTGGAGCTCGCGTTTCCTGCCGAACTTACTGACACTTGACTCTTTCACGCCATGTGAACACACCCACAACACTGAAACGGTGTGAGTGAACACGGAAGTCATTGCGCTGTGTGTGTGCTACGTGTTGTTGAATACAACGGCACATCGATCGATCGATTTCTCTTTGAGAATTATTTTAGTATTTCAAGATCGCCAATTTATTTGAATTTAGGAGTCAACGCCGTCTTCTATCAGCTTTCACAGGCGTCTGCTTTTCTCAAAACGTCCGGTCGAAGTCACACGGATAGCTTTGCCAAGTCATGGCCTTGGGAATGAGTCTGTGTCGATGTCGTTTTCGTCACATCGTGAGAGTAAATTGCATCGCAGCTCAAAGAAATTGGGCACGAAACGAATTGGGACCCATCCCGCTCGTCAACATTTACCACACTTTCGACATGTCCTCTCTGACTCCATTTCGATACGAGGAAGAACTCGTTTGTTGTAAACCAGACGTACATGTACCGACGTGAGTGAGTTGTCATTTTTCATGCTTTCGCGCGGATTATTTCTTCGAGTTCACAGTGAGTTTTTCCAGCCAGCTCTCGAGCGCGCATACGGTAAGACGGCAAACTCCCCAGGCGATCGCCAGGATTGCTAATCTGTTTGAAACTGACTGTAAACATGAATTTGAATCCGTGTGACTAAACATGAATTTGAATCCGTGTGACTAAACATGAACACAACTTTGCAAACGTGAGTGCATTGCATGAACTTTAGGTCTATCACCCACATTCGCGAATCTGTTGCGTGTAACTAAACCTGCCTAGTGTGAGCGAAAGACACACCACAACGCTCGTGCATGGGTGTTGTGCACGCGTGCATGAGTGCATTGTGCATTCATGTACGTGTGCATGCATGCATACCAGCATAACAACACATCATACTTGAAGAAACAACTGAAAGAGATCAACCGGCAGTAGACACCTGTACTCACATGCAGGCCTTGATCCAGAAGACTAGTTCCGGCCCATGAAGCAACGCTGTGCAGCCAATGAAGAACAGCACTCCCAGACGCCTTGGCTGCTGCAGTCCGCCTAATGCCTGCGCAAGTCACCATCCAGTCACCAATAAAGATAGATGCCGTAGTCTGTTACCATGAATCATGTGGATCTCAGTGGATCATGCATGCACGCATAACCACAACACAATTTCCGGTGTGTCACGTGTGTGTGTGTGGGGGGGGGGGGGGGGGGGGGGCAGGGGCATCTCGTGTACGTGTGAACCTGCACTTCACAAGTGCAAAGATCAATGCGTACATCCAGTGCATGCATGTACTATGTGTGGACTGTTGCTGTCAAGTCCGCGTTCACTGTCTGTACGCTCATGCTAGCCTAATCTATTACAAGACGGTAAAGTCTCCCGGTGTCAGTGCAAAGCAGGGAGTACTACCTGCTGCAAAGCGTAGTTCCTTGATTGACGAGTCAGTGAAAATCACCGCAACCGGGAGAACAAAGAAGAGGGAGTGTGGTCCTTACAACATCTACGGCGGTGAAACAAGAGCTGACATGGCTTGCTATGCCAATCAGAATGGCCTGACAGCCACAGCGGACCGTTTCTCAAAGACACATGCTAGTACTGTAGCCACACGACTGCCCAGAGAATACAAACAAGTTCCGTGAGCAACCGAGCACCCAATCGAACCCCAGCAAGATTGTCTCCTTAGAGCGTGAGAGGGGATTACGAGGACACCATCCGCTATCATCTGGCCAAGTCGATGTGATGGTGTGTAGGCATGTCGATGTGATGGTGTGTAGGCATGTCGATGTGATGGTGAGTAGGCATGTCGATGTGATGGTGTGTAGGCATGTCGATGTGATGGTGTGTAGGCATGTCGATGTGATGGTGTGTAGGCATGTCGATGTGATGGTGTGTAGGCATGTCGATGTGATGGTGTGTAGGCATGTCGATGTGATGGTGTGTAGGCATGTCGATGTGATGGTGTGTATGCATGTCGATGTGATGGTGTGTAGGCATGTCGATGTGATGGTGTGTAGGCATGTCGATGTGATGGTGTGTAGGCATGTCGATGTGATGGTGTGTAGGCATGTCGATGTGATGGTGTGTAGGCATGTCGATGTGATGGTGAGTAGGCATGTCGATGTGATGGTGTGTAGGCATGTCGATGTGATGGTGTGTAGGCATGTCGATGTGATGGTGTGTAGGCATGTCGATGTGATGGTGTGTGCGGAGGTGTACAGCACAGCGTACACCATGTTTGTAACTCACGTTGTATTCCCGTATACGATTTTCTTGCACATGTCGCGCGTTCGTATGAACCTTGAACTCTGCGGTACAACCCAGTCCCGTACCGGCATGCATTTGTACACACTGAGTTATCCGACTTGTTTATTTTTCTTCTCTGCCGTTGCCTTTCGGCTTCTTCCCCACTCGATTGGTGCTCGTGGGTGAATTAGTATAGTAATTGGAGCCGCTATCCTCCAAATTGGTGACCCCGACGTGATCCGAACTCGCAACCTTTAGTACTGGTCATTTTGGATGTTTGTTTTCACTGCACAAAGAACTCCTGACGTACTTGATAAGCTCACGACGAATGGCCTTGAAGTCTAGTTTGTCGCTGCCAGCTGCACTTCGGAGCTTCAGCCCCTAGATTTCTCAGTGAACGCTCGATTCCAAGGGCATATGAAAGATGCTTTTACTGAGTGGCATGCAGGCTGCGTGAAGGATGCTGTGGAGGAACATGGCAAAGATGCTGTGGAGGAACATGGTGACTTTAGCCTATTGAATATCAGTTGTATAAAAAAATTAAATGCATCATTCGGGGGCTACTCACTTATAAGCCCAGGGCTAATCTTCTTGACTGTTTACATGAGAAAATAAGCTGCCCAGAATGCAGGATTTTGCACCCTAATTTCAAAAATTCCCCGGGGGCGACCCCTGCACCCCCTCCGGCCGGACCACATCCAATGGCAGTGCTACGCGCCTGTAAACGCTCGCTCCAAAACGACTGGGTGACTCTGGGTGACACTGGGTGACTCTGGGTGACAGATCAAGGCAGGCATCTTGTAAGGCCAGGGTTGAATAAGCCCAGGGCTTATTTTTCTTTCTCATGTAAACGGCCCCTCAGACTGAGTTATCCTGATTTTCTCGACACCGATGATGATTTCATTTAGTGCCTTTGGCTTTGGAGAGAGCTATGGAAACAAACACTCACGATGACCAGTAAAAGAAAAATCTGCATCATTACTTCTAAACCAAGCAGAAGGTCAACATTGGACATTTCATCATTCGCTGCCCAGAAGCGAAGGTCCCTGGTTCGAGTCCTGGTGGTGACAATCAATTTTTTTCTTCAGACTTTTCCCATTTTCCACTCCCGATTAAAATCTTTAGAAGAATAAAGAGACACTGAACAATTCTGAAATTAGAGTATAGCACACACAGACACATGTGCAATGATGTAGTTGTGTCCAGTGAGTACATGCACATTTTCGCTCACCGAAAGACACAGCGCTGTGGCATATAGCACAAATCGGCACACAGCAGGGCAGGTGAAAGCTGGCAGCACCACAGACAGCAGCAGCAGCGCGAGCACAATGAAACCTTTCAGAAAGTGGCTCTTTCCAGTAGTGCTGCGCCTTGAGCATGGTAATATCCTGCACAGTGAACAACAACAAAACAATACTACAATGTAAAATACCGTCTGCAAACACTGTGCAAACACTGTGCAAGCACGGCGCAAGCACGGTGCAAGCACGGCGCAAGCACGGAGCAAGCACGGCGCAAGCACGGCGCAAGCACGGCGCAAGCACGGCACAAGCACGGCGCAAGCACGGCGCAAGCACGGCGCAAGCACGGCGCAAGCACGGCGCAAGCACGGCGCAAGCACGGCGCAAGCACGGCGCAAGCACGGCGCAAGCACGGCGCAAGCACTGCGCAAGCACTGCGCAAGCACTGTGCAAGCACTGCGCAAACACTGCGCAAACACTGTGCAAACACTGTGCAATCTAAAGTTAAAGTGGTTTCATTCCTGAAGATGGAACTGGCTGGAAAATTCAGATAATTTTTATTTAGGATGACTGGCTAGAGTGGAGTGTTCGCATCTTGAGAGTCCATGTTTAGTCTATGTATACAAGCATACTCATCAGTATAGTCTACCAGCACTACAACCAGGGGTGTCATCAGTATAGTCTACCAGCACTACAACCAGGGCAGGGGTGTCATCAGTATAGTCTACCAGCACTACAACCAGGGCAGGGGTGTCATCAGTATAGTCTACCAGCACTACAACCAGGGCAGGGGTGTCATCAGTATAGTCTACCAGCACTACAACCAGGGCAGGGGTGTCATCAGTATAGTCTACCAGCACTACAACCAGGGCAGGGGTGTCATCAGTATAGTCTACCAGCACTACAACCAGGGCAGGGGTGTCATCAGTATAGTCTACCAGCACTACAACCAGGGGTGTCATCAGTATAGTCTAGCAGCACTACAACCAGGGCAGGGGTGTCATCAGTATAGTCTAGCAGCACTACAACCAGGGCAGGGGTGTCATCAGTATAGTCTACCAGCACTACAACCAGGGCAGGGGTGTCATCAGTATAGTCTAGCAGCACTACAAGCAGGGCAGGGGTGTCATCAGTATAGTCTACCAGCACTACAACCAGGGCAGGGGTGTCATCAGTATAGTCTACCAGCACTACAAGCAGGGCAGGGGTGTCATCAGTATAGTCTACCAGCACTACAACCAGGGCAGGGGTGTCATCAGTATAGTCTAGCAGCACTACAACCAGGGCAGGGGTGTCATCAGTATAGTCTACCAGCACTACAACCAGGGCAGGGGTGTCATCAGTATAGTCTACCAGCACTACAACCAGGGCAGGGGTGTCATCAGTATAGTCTACCAGCACTACAACCAGGGCAGGGGTGTCATCAGTATAGTCTACCAGCACTACAACCAGGGCAGGGGTGTCATCAGTATAGTCTACCAGCACTACAACCAGGGCAGGGGTGTCATCAGTATAGTCTACCAGCACTACAACCAGGGCAGGGGTGTCATCAGTATAGTCTACCAGCACTACAACCAGGGCAGGGGTGTCATCAGTATAGTCTACCAGCACTACAACCAGGGGTGTCATCAGTATAGTCTAGCAGCACTACAACCAGGGCAGGGGTGTCATCAGTATAGTCTAGCAGCACTACAACCAGGGCAGGGGTGTCATCAGTATAGTCTACCAGCACTACAACCAGGGCAGGGGTGTCATCAGTATAGTCTAGCAGCACTACAAGCAGGGCAGGGGTGTCATCAGTATAGTCTACCAGCACTACAACCAGGGCAGGGGTGTCATCAGTATAGTCTACCAGCACTACAAGCAGGGCAGGGGTGTCATCAGTATAGTCTACCAGCACTACAACCAGGGCAGGGGTGTCATCAGTATAGTCTAGCAGCACTACAACCAGGGCAGGGGTGTCATCAGTATAGTCTACCAGCACTACAACCAGGGCAGGGGTGTCATCAGTATAGTCTACCAGCACTACAACCAGGGCAGGGGTGTCATCAGTATAGTCTACCAGCACTACAACCAGGGCAGGGGTGTCATCAGTATAGTCTACCAGCACTACAACCAGGGCAGGGGTGTCATCAGTATAGTCTACCAGCACTACAACCAGGGCAGGGGTGTCATCAGTATAGTCTACGGTAGTACCAGCACTACAACCAGGGCAGGGGTGTCATCAGTATAGTCTACCAGCACTACAACCAGGGCAGGGGTGTCATCAGTATAGTCTACCAGCACTACAACCAGGGGTGTCATCAGTATAGTCTAGCAGCACTACAACCAGGGCAGGGGTGTCATCAGTATAGTCTACCAGCACTACAACCAGGGCAGGGGTGTCATCAGTATAGTCTACCAGCACTACAACCAGGGCAGGGGTGTCATCAGTATAGTCTAGCAGCACTACAACCAGGGCAGGGGTGTCATCAGTATAGTCTACCAGCACTACAAGCAGGGCAGGGGTGTCATCAGTATAGTCTAGCAGCACTACAAGCAGGGCAGGGGTGTCATCAGTATAGTCTACCAGCACTACAACCAGGGGTGTCATCAGTATAGTCTACCAGCACTACAAGCAGGGCAGGGGTGTCATCAGCTATATGTAGTAGGGTACTAGTACCTGTGCTACCCGTAATAAGAGCGGGTAGCCGAGTAGCAGTTTGCATCTGAGAACTCAATCGCGTAGTTGGAGTACGGTGCTTTCGCAACGGTGCTATCCATTACTGTTTTTCTCTTAGTACTTTGGGCTAGATACAGGAAAGCATGCCATGCAGTGTACTGGCTAGCAAAACAGAATATAGCATAATCGTGGACGCGATAGGAATTCGGTTCTTTTTCAAGAGTTTTACTTTTACCTACGAAGGGGTTGAGAGTATTGAGAGGGATGTTTTCTGTTCATTTTGACCACCCTTTTTCTCCAGAAAACTGATCTTGGGATACCAGGGCACAATGGGACTGATCTTGGGTTCAGACATGGCACGTGCATATTGCCATGCTACAGCCAATGAGAAGCCAGAATAAGCGGGCAGGAACAGCTGGTCTTGCCCGCTTATTCTGTACGCGATACGGTACCACTGCTGTTCCTGCCCGCATACCCGGGCAGGAACAGCAGCGATACAGCACCGCGGCGCGCATGCGTACTTACCTTTTTTTCTCAGTCCGTATCTTGTCTAGTCTGCAAGAGTTTATCCAAAGTTTCCCTTGTTTATCCAAATATGGCAGAGCCAGCACCAAAACGTTTTGCGACGGTCACAGATGCCGATGTGGAGAGGATCATTCGGACCGTACGCCGAAAAGTACCGGAAGGACTCTACGAAAAACAAATATGGTGCTCGATCTGAAAACGTGTACGAAGGACGATCTGTGCCATGTACTTTGTCTGTGCTACGTTGGGATGCACACTCAAAAAGGCGAGAACTACCAGAGAACTACCAGTATAGTTCGTACAAAGGTTTCCGTGCGGCAATTCAACGCCATTTGAATGACCTTGGCAGGAAGTTCGACATTTTCAACGACATGGAATTTCGCAGATCCAATGACACCTTTAATGGAATGATATTTTATAAAGAAACTGAAGAGAGAAGGTGACATGAATTCGATTGCACACAAAGATATTATAACCGACACCGACCTTTACAAGATCACCTACCTCTTCGATACAAAGAAGGATGCCAAGTGCCTAATACAGTCGTCCCTCTCTAATCCGGCACTTGTTTATCCGGAACCCTTGCCAACCGGCGCACTTTCTGACGAAACCAATTTTTTTCGTTCAATTCCTACATCTTAATCCGGCACTTGAATTCCGCCTCCGGCAGTGACTTTTTGAAACGAATCGCTCAAACTGCACGTAGTTTGATTTCATAATCCGGCAGTCGTAAATCGCGTACCGTACAGGTGCACTCCTTGCCAGGCCTAGGCCAGGCTAGGCTTGTCCAGGAGACAACGGCAGTCAACCATACTTTCTTATTTTAGCAAGGAGTAGTGTCCTGCCAATTTTCAGGTGTGTGTGTGCGTGTGTGTGCAAGAGTACATGTGAACATGTTCTCTGTTTTACTTTATCACTGTGTATATTCCCGGAGAACAATTGAGAATATAAAGCCGTGCACCAAATACTTGGGTCGACACGGAAAAACCCTGGGTTTTGACGTACATATGATACATGCATGCAATTGGGTAGGGCCGGGTCAGAGGGCAGGATTTCTTAATCCAGCACCCTCGTTAATCCAGCAGAAAACGCCGTAGCAAAAGGTGGCGGATTAGAGAGGGACGACTGCCTAATACAAGTATGGTTCTATGTCACAATGCATTTCGGTATTGGTGGACGTGAGCTGCAGTGTAACATGAGAAAGCAGGATTTGCTGATCCTGAAAGACAGCAACGGACAGGAGTACACAAGTTGGCAACTGATTTTGCCCAGAAAAACCACCAGCTGGACGCCATTGCCACACCTGCTAGACGTATCCAGAAGGATACACAAGTGTTGTCAGTGCAACGCCTGCTGAGCAAGTTGCACCCTGACTGTGACCGGCAACACCTGCTGAGCAAGTTGCACCCTGACTGTGACTGTGAGCGGCTTTTCCAGAGACCAAAGTCTAACTACTCGCCTCAGGAAGAGTTCTGGTTTACCAGAGCGCCGATGGGAAAGAACACGTTGGGCGATATTATGAAGTCCATCTGTGCGGATGCTGGTACGTCAAAAACGTACGCGAATCACTGCCTCAGGGCATTCACTGTGTCTCGCCTGAACGCTGAGAGTGTGCCAGAGCGCCACATCATGGCCATAATGGGCCACAAGAATGTGCAATCACTGACGAGCTACTGTCGGCCAACAGAGGAGCAGGAGCGCCACATGGCAGCACTGTTAGATGGCGATGCAGGTCAATAGCCTTCAACAAGTACTGCTCTGCTCCCAAGCTCGCAGTTCGGCAGAGATGTGCTGGATTTGCTAGGAGACCTACCTCCACAAGCTTCTGTTCCATCTCCATCGCCTGCTGCTGCTCCAATCTGCTCCCAGGTTGCAACCACAGGTGTTGCTACCTCTGCTGTTGCGTTTTCAGGCCAGCAACCACCTCAAGCGTCCTTCGACGATGGCCACGTAGCTGTGGATGAGCTTCTGGGTGGCCTGTCACCGTCCGAGCTCCTGGCTCTAGAAGCGCCACCAACGCCTTCAGCCACCACTGAACAGCGTAATGCTCAGCTCAACTTTGGTTCCAGAAACAACTTCTCGGGAGCAGTTTTTGACTTGAACCTAACTCTAAATTTTTTTATATAAAATTTAATATTATATTCCTCATGCCTAGGCTCATGGTGGAATCAAGGTAGTTTTTCCCTGCAATAACAGAATGAAGAAGGTGTGTTATGTCATGTATTTCTCGTTTTCTCTAACTCTTTTTGCCGACAGATGCGTTAGCTCCATGGGTGATCTCACCCATGGGGTACATGCGAGCGGACCAGTCCTCCCTCTACAGCGTAGACCCAGAGGCCATTTGCGCCGCCAAGGCTGCTGCCAAGCAAGCCCAGTCTGTGACTACCAAGACCGTCCTGCAGACAGCTGGTCCAGAGGCCCTACCACCAATGCTTCTGGAGCACCTCCAGGCCAAGGGAACAGGTGCATGGCTGACCTGTCTTCCTGTTCGCGAGCATGGATACTCCCTCGACCGGCGGTCCTTCGTTGATGCCCTATGCATTCGGTATGGCCTCACCATCCATGATTCACCTACCGAGTGTCCATGCGGCCGGCCGTTCACCATCGACCACGCAATGATCTGCAAGTTGGGCGGCTATCCCATCCACCGGCACAACCATGTCCGCAACTACCTGGGCCAACTTCTCTCTCAAGTGTCTGAGGATGTGCAGCTGGAGCCACCGCTGCAACCTCTACCGACGGTCCGCACGTTTGACCATGGTCCTGCCCTGCTCACTGCGGACGACGCCAGACCGGACATCAAGGCCAGGGGTTTTTGGTCGGTACAGACTGATGCATTTTTTGATGTAAGGGTGTTCTATCCCAACGCACAGTCGTACCGATCTCGCCCGCTGGCTGAGGTGTTCCAATGGCACGAGCGTCAGAAGCAGTCGGCATACGGTGCCCGGATCCGGGAAGTTGAGCACGCGTCGTTCACCCCGATCGTCCTGTCTTCTGCTGGTGCCCTCGCGAAGGAGGCCACCCGGTTCCTGAAGCTGCTCGGAACGAAGCTCTCCACCAAGCTCTCGCAGCCTTATCCCCTCGTGATGGGAAAGCTGCGGACGGACCTGGCTTTCAGCCTTGTCCGCGACTCCGTCCTGATGGTTCGTGGGAGTCGCCGTGCATTCCGTGCACCTGGTCTGGCGGCGGATGTGGACGCTGTTTCTGTGGAGGCCCGCATTCCCGCCACTACGTGACGCTAAGTCCTCCTGGGGTTTGCCGCTCTCCGGTCCTCTTTCATCCCGTTCTCCCCTCTTTTTTTGGGGGGATTCTTTGTACTTCGTCTTTCTTGTTTTTCTTGTTCCTTTGTTTTTTGTAGGACAGATTTTTGGTGTACTGATTTCGGTTGCTGTTGTGTCTGACTCTATTCCCAATATCTAATTCTGTGGTTGGTTTTCCAACTCATTGGGTTGTAGTTTCCATCATGAGTTTGATTCCACCGTGAGTTATAATAATATTTTGATTGAGTGTTCTATTTATTTCCGAAATTGGGTTGTCTTTTTGCCTTGACTCTTACTTCATGGTGTTGTGAATAAAACCGTTCTCATAATAATAATATTATTATTATTATTGTCTCTTTCCCTCAAACTAGTGAAGATTATTATTATTATTATTATTATTAACTCTAAAATAAAACTCTACTTTTCTGTACTCTTGTAATAGATTGACTAGTAACTGTCGACGCCACCTCATCTCTCTCTCTCTCTATCTCTATTCCTTTCGTGATATCTAACGTATTTACTGTTGATCACTACGTATTATTACTGTTGAACTTCGTATTATTTATTCACGCTGTGTTCTTCCTTTTTCCAGTATTATTGTGCGTGCACACGATGACGTAGGTCGCCATTTTATCCGTGTCATCTTGGTGCGCGAGCCTTTATCCTTTTTCTCTAGCTCTTTTAGTTTTAGTTCTTCTTGTGCAAAAGCAAGTAATTAGTCCAATGTCGAGTGGGCTGTGAGAGTTGCATGTTGGGTAGTGCAGACGGGGTAGTTCACAACACTCTCTTGTACTGGCCTTCACGAAACTGAAAATAAAACCACGCTGGTCATGACCTCGTTGTTTGTGATGTGGGCCTTGTCTGAACCGCAATCCTACACAGTTACACCGGGCATGCCGCGCTGATCTTGCCCTCGGTCAGGTGAGTGATCCTACCCTCGGTCGCGACGCCCTCGGGGCTACGCCCCTTGGGCGTCGCGACCTCGGGCAGGATCACCCACCTGACCTCGGGCAAGATCAGCGCGGCATGCATTGAACCTAACTCTAAACTAAAACCTCGGTCGCGACACCCTCGGGGCTACATCCCTTGGGCGTCGCGACCTCGGGCAGGATCACTCACCTGACCTCGGGCAAGATCAGCGCGGCATGCCCGATGTAACTGTGTAGGATTATGTATATACCAGGGCACAATTGGGCCGGGCTCTTTGTCGGTTCTTTGGTGTCACTGGAAGAGTCTTTCTTGATTTATGTTTGGGAATGCTTCGGTCCATTTTGACAGTTGATGAGAGTCACATCAAGAGTAGATAAACAAGAGTGTGCAACTCCGGATCTCTCCTGCACAATCTGCAGATACCCCCGCCAACGGCGGAATTTTTTGTTGACGTCACCTTTTTTCAGAGAAACGCGCATTTTGCCGCAGAGCAGTGTGAGAGCACGTGCTGGGCACCGACCTTGTAGTGTAAAGCCCGGCCAAGAGCACGAGGGAAAACTTTCCGAAAGACTCGCAGCGCGTTCGTCGTCGAAAAGATTACGTCAACAAAAATTCCGCCGTGGGCCTACCCATCCGCGAGTTGCACACTCTTGTTTATCTACTCTTGGTCACATGCACTCTTGCTGCTGTTTGCACTTTCAAATAAGCATCTACAGGTGGAATCCTGATAATTCAAACCTCGAAATGCCAGGAAAAAACTTCTAATTATCCGGACATTCTAATTATCCAAACATGAACCCACAACACAATACGTATGTCAAAATGCTCTCGTGGTCACACAGAGTTGCGCTTTGGACCTTAGACACAGATTTCACGGATACTGAACTGACCGGCACAGCCAGCTCATGCAAACTGAACTGACCAGTACAGTGTACAGTGAACTTCGAATTATCAGCACAAATCCCACACATTTTCTATGTAAGTGGAATCCGTGGAACTTGGAATTAACCGGACATGTCCGGTTCGAGGTTCAAATTATCCGAAAAATTTATGTGAGAATCGTATTGACAGAAATCGGTCCTGGAAAAACTTCTAATTAAGCGGTATGTTCGAATTAAGCCATATTCGAATTATCAGGATTCCACCTGTATTAACATTTGAAAAAGTCGGCACATTCCGAAGTTCCTGCGATACCTACCCAGGGGCTAGCTACCCCAAGGATCGTGGGGTCTATGCTTTTTGCACTCTATGTGTCCTCACATTGGTTGAAACGCCATCCTGGGTAGGACAACACTTACAATATTTGAGTGCATACACACGGGCAGCAATGAGCTCAATGGAGAACACACCGGTAACACGCACATACCAGTAACAGATGCCAGTAAAGACTGTGGGTATCACATCCAGAACTACAACAGTGGCCCAGTACAGCATGAAGATAGCAGGTAGCAGCCACACTGGACCATGGGTGATGTGCTCAGGAAACTTGATTGGTCCAACATCGCTGTGGGTGAGCAAGAATTGCACAAACAAGTTCAAGTTAGACACATGTGGTGGGAACGCACGCACACGCACACACATGCACACACGCACACACACACACACACGCACACACACACACACACATGCACACACGCACACATGCACATACACATGTACACCCACACACATGCACAAACATGTGCTGGATGTGGGTAGCGATGAGAAAATCAACGCATATTCAGTCAGATAAAAACTAAAAACAAGAATCCATAGTCAAAAGTATGCATTTGTGATTTATGGGTCAACAAGCAGTGCGCTGGCTTCATTACATAACCTGCAATACGCCTTGCACTCATGCACTCAAACCCACAATCTTTCATACCAGCCCAATCGTTTTCGCTTGACTCGTTCTAGTACCGACGTGGTCTCAACAACTCTGGGTGCATGAACAACTCTGGGAGTCAGGGTGCATGAACTTGAGTTCTGTACCCAAGTAGGTTTCAAAGCACAGGCAATGTGTGCAATGTATGCAATGTGTGGCGTGTCGTGATGTGCAGAGTATACGCATGCAGCTGGCAAGCTGGCAGCATCTGGCCCATGGAAAAGAGATCACAGTTGCATACTCTCCCATGGTTGTGGACGTTTGCTGGGAAAAAGGGCACCAACCATTATTTTTATAGCAGTGAATAGAGAATGAGGCACACCAACAACAAGGACCGTGTCGTTACCTTGGTGAATACCATGGTAACGAGTTGCTCAGTTGACTATATTACACATCACTTGCTACTTATACCATTAGTTACCGTACTGGCAATATATGTTGCCGCGTAACGCGTAACGCAGGGGGGTGCGGCGTAACGCGCGACCAGGCTAGTGCGACAAATTTTCGTTGAGTTCGTAACGCGCGTCCGGCGGGGTGCGGCAATCTTTTCATTGCAGTTTGCACTGCAAAAAAAAGGCTGAAAACTGTGAAAGCACGTGTACCGCGTGGTGAAAAGTTCAAAACTGGACGCAGCAGGAAGTCCTGACACTCGAAGGCGCATCATTCAGTGGTTGGCGATCTCAATGGTTTCTTCTTTCCCGAGGTCGTTTTGCGAAGAAGAGCGATGTGTTTACCAGTTTCCTTGTGACAATGCAGAAGTCTCTATTCGCCTTCGGCGTGAAGAAAATCACGCCCAAGCATCATTCAGTGGTTGGCGATCTCAATGGTTTCTTCTTTCCCGAGGTCGTTTTGCGAAGAAGAGCGATGTGTTTACCAGTTTCCTTGTGACAATGCAGAAGTCTCTATTCGCCTTCGGCATGAAGAAAATCACGCCCAAGGAAAGTGAAAAACGAAAGGATGAGGAGAGAAAGGAGACGAAAAACAGGATTGCTGCTGATCGTGCAAAGAAAGTTTTAGTGAAGCAGAAGAAAGTTCGTGAGCAAACGAGAAAGCGTGTTCGTCGGCACCGCCAAAAGGGAACGGAAGCCAAGAGAGTGAAGACTGTCCAACTGCAGCCACCAACTCACTCCGGAGCACCAGCTGCTGCCGTCGGAAAGAAGAAGAGGTACGTGAACTGGTTTCATCCTCTCCTCATCCGAGCTGTCCGCAGTCGAAGAAGCTATTGTGGTGCAGTCAGCTATCTTCAACTGAACTTTGGTGATGGCCGCTTCAGCACACTTGATGAGCGAAACCTTCGACGCTGGTTCGTAACACCCTCGTCTCCTCGTCCCTTGTCATCATTAGTGGTAGCGAAGATGACAATGACACCGGCAGCAGTGATGACTCGAGCAGCGATGACGACTCCAGCAGCAGTGATGACTCGAGCAGCGATGACGACTCCAGCAGCAGTGATGACTCGAGCAGCGATGACGACTCCAGCAGCAGTGATGACTCGAGCAGCGATGACGACTCCAGCAGCAGTGATGGCTCGAGCAGCGATGACGACTCCAGCAGCAGTGATGACTAATGATAGCCACGGTGACTTTGTAATATGTTGTACACTCATTAACTGTGTGAGTGACAGTAGTTTTTGGAGGAAGCGCTCTTCCCCTATGTCACTTTCCTTTTGATGATCTTTTTGTGAACAGATCACTCTGATAGTTAAAATATACAGTCTTCTATTGATATCGTTGTCGCCCTTTGCCGTCGGGTTTGTAACAGTTGGATAGCAACTGAATTTCTGTGCCTTCAATGTGGATGAAAAGAAAAAATGATGCGGCAAAAGCAAAAAAATGATGCGGCAATAGCAAAAAAGTGATGCGGCAATAGCAAAAAAAGGACTGCGGCAATATAGAAACCTGTGTAACGGCTCCTGTGCGACTTTGCATGTAACGCCCTGCGGCCGGCAAACATGTGCCAATGTAACGCTTCATGGCCTCACTGCGGCAACATATATTGCCAGTACGGTATTAATGCATTTATCTTGCTATGACGAAGCTGCAGCCTAATTACATGGCCTATGATTTCATAACCAGATCCACTACGTTAAGGTTTCAATTAAGTATAGATTCATTACGTCTATAATAGCTCCTGAATGATATCACCAAGATGACTCGGTTGCTCTCTGTTTGAGTCCTTGGTGACATGGAGCCGAAACTATTCTCATTGTTTGTCCTCTCTACAATTGTAGCTTCGAGATCAAGCAAGTTCGTCTCAACATCATCTCAAACTCAAGATCATCTCCAGCTCAAGATCATCCCCAGCTCAAGATCATCTCAAGTGCAAGATCTCAAGCTATCTCAAGGCATGTTACCCAAGAGTATCCTCTATTGGCAACGATGAGGTAACCGATAATGAGTTTACAATACGTGAGGGCCAGCAGAACCCGGGCCACCACCTTTATTAATAAAATTATAACTGAGGCGAAATTGTGGGATCCTGCAACTGATGGCAACGAAGTAATAGTCAAACTAACCGAATTAATAGTCAAACTGCTAACCGAATTAATAGTCAAACTGCTTAACCGAATTAATAGTCAAACTGCTTAACCGAAGTAATAGTCAAACTGCTTAACCGAATTAATAGTCAAACTGCTTAACCGAATTAATAGTCAAACTGCTTAACCGAATTAATAGTCAAACTGCTTAACCGAATTAATAGTCAAACTGCTTAACCGAATTAATAGTCAAACTGCTTAACCGAAGCGTCTAATAAACTAGAAGAAATGCACCTGAAATGTGAAATGTGCAGATCAAGATGACGACGAAACCACATCTGAAAAGGTTTCGGAATTCAGAAAGGCAATGAATGAAGTTCTCGATGACAGGATGGCTGCTATCATCCTCGAAGTTGAAGATTTAAAGAAAACATGCGAAGAACTAAACGAAAGAGTTGAGGTGTTTGAGCAGCGCTACTGCAAGCTGACATCCACTGTCTCCTGGAAAATCCAAAGCACCCCAAACGCACCGGTAGCGCCTTGCCTACCTTCAAGCAGCTCCCCGCTAAAGATATTAGATGAACTCTCCCATTTGACATCATTCTTGTCGATGCAACACCAGAGCCTAAGCAGGATATCCAGCGACTGTTGGCTGACTAGGACCTACTGAGATCTCCGAAAACCGCACGTAGAGCAATTCGTCTGTGTAAAATTAACTGTTGCAGTATCCTAAACGAGAGCATGCCCAACCTCCAGCAGGATCTCGTCAGCTGCCAGCATTGGGCTAAGAATGGACATGGAAACATTTTCTCCAAAAGAAACCTTCATCTCTTGAAATTACGACATTCCCGAATCCTCCTCTGTTTCAATGGACGACATTCCAATTGCATCTGGGCTTGCCGCTAAACATCTCGGCATAGAGCTCAGCAATGGCTTTTATCAAAAGTTCCACGACCACTTCCACACAATCTTCAGGAAGTTTCAGCAACGTGTCAATCCTGTATGTTTCATGGGTCGACACTTATCATCATCCCATATTGCTCTCTTATCATCATCCCATATTGCTCTCTTATCATCATCCCATATTGCTCTCTTATCATCATCCCATATTGCTCTCTTATCATCATCCCATATTGCTCTCTTATCATCATCCCATATTGCTCTCTTATCATCATCCCATATTGCTCTCTTGCAGAAGTCCTATGTGCATCCGGCAATTGAGTACGCCATTCCTGTCTGGTCACTTAGGATCACATCCGCTCAGCTAGAGTAAATTGATGTATTCCAGGCTGAGGTTCGCCGGCAATTCCATAGTTCTTTGAAAATAGACTTTGATAACTATGAATCAAAATCGAATTTCACTAGATTGTGTCGCTTAGAGTCCCCGCAATTTCGCCGGATCTTTATTTCTCTGCTTATTTTTTTATACCGTATTTCCCCGATAAGTCGCACAGGATTATAGGTCTCATCCCCATTTTCCGGCCTGAGCCATGATTACGTACGTCGCAATCGAGCTATGTCATCTTCTATGTGCCATGCGCTACCTGATGTACCAGCCTGCTATGTCGGATACCGCTAACCATGCATCGACTAACTGTTAGGCGCCAGGCACGAACTGATGGTGGTGGTGGTGGTGGTGAGAAGGAGAGCTCTGTGCCACTTTGCAGCCTAGAGAGCGTGTGTGGGCAGGCGTGTATTTACCGCCATATTACCAGGTGTGTGATTACCGCCATATTACCAGGTGTGTGATTACCACCATATTACCAGGTGTGTGATTACCGCCATATTACCAGGTGTGTGATTACCACCATATTACCAGGTGTGTGATTACCACCATATTACCAGGTGTGTGATTACCACCATATTACCAGGTGTGTGATTACCGCCATATTACCAGGTGTGTGATTACCACCATATTACCAGGTGTGTGATTACCACCATATTACCAGGTGTGTGATTACCACCATATTACCAGGTGTGTGATTACCACCATATTACCAGGTGTGTGATTACCGCCATATTACCAGGTGTGTGATTACCGCCATATTACCAGGTGTGTGATTACCGCCATATTACCAGGTGTGTGATTACCACCATATTACCAGGTGTGTGATTACCACCATATTACCAGGTGTGTGATTACCGCCATATTACCAGGTGTGTG